TGATTTTGCCCCTTTTTTGAAAAAAACTATCCGTACGCCTCTGGTAGAAAATTCAATTGCCAAAATACCTGATTTGCTTTACAACGGATTATTGATAAATTTAGATGTATAATACACAATCTCTGTATGTTCAACGAAAGGCTGAAGATTTCGATTCTTACCAGTCCAAATATCCACATTGTCTAAAGCCGCTTAACGATAATCAATCAAGACTTATATTAAAACGTATTTAAAAATAAATTTTTTTTTTTTTAGTATAAAAAAATAAGTAGTAGTCCCAGAAATAAGTAAAGTATTTTAACTGGTAGAGTTCAACCCCAGAAATACGCCTACGAGGTTTTTTTCGCAAAAAAAAATTTTTTGATTTTTAGTTTTAGTTAAAACCATAATTTCTTTGATAATATGGCAACATAGGTATTAGATTAAATTTACAAGGAAGAAAAATCCAGAAAAGATCCTATGCACTTTTAGCAAAAAATCATTTTTTAATTTTTTCAGCAAAAAACCTGTTGTTTGGACTTATTTGAAAACCATAAAGAGAAAATATGTTTCTTTTATCGAGATCTACCACCCTTTTAAAATACTCTTGCACTTATTTCGGGGATAACTCGTGGCTATGAAATGACAATAGGTCTGTCATTTTTGATAACTAGTAGATGGTATTGTCTGTCATTTTTGATGTCGTCTGTCGAAATCTTTCCTTCTTTCGTTGAACATACAGAGATTGTGTATTATACATCTAAATTTATCAATAATCCATTGTAAAGCAAATCAGGTATTTTGGCAATTGAATTTTCTACCAGAGGCATGGATAGTTTTTTTTTTCAAAAAGGGTTAAAAAGTTATTTAATGCAAACTATCCACTTACATAAAAGTCCGCCCAATAAGAAGTTACATGATAGTGACAGTTGCCCGTCATTTTAATATACAGGTATATGCTGTTATTTTTTGTATTTTTCCACATTGTTCCGGAATCTACGATATACGACATACAAAACATGTCGGAAAATACAGATTGCCTGTAAATTAGACACAATAACTGTTACTGTCAGGAATATCTCACTGGACAGACTATAGATCAGATGTACTCTATTCTGGTTCGCTAGATTGTCTATGCATTCAAACATAAAATTTAAATATGAATTGCTGTCGTTATTCTAAATCTAATTGAGAAAAAAAGTGCGAAAACCTGGGTTTCATATGTAACAACACTGAATCACCCTGTATATTGTATTAAATCTGGTAATTAAAAATAGACTAATAATTATTATTAAAATGCGTGACAAATTGGGCATCATTAATTTTATATTGTTTAATAATTCGTACATTTTACTGATAAAACAAAACTAAACTTATAATTAACTAAATAAATATCTGTTAAGATTAGTATATTTCCTTTAAGATTTGGAAAAGTTTAATCAATAAAACATCTAAGCAACCACCTTGCACTAGGATAAAGGGTAGTTTTATTCATAGGCATTAAAATTCCGGCACTATATGGTCGTTGAACTGAAAATATACCATATAAAAAAGGTATTTTCAAATAAAAATGGAAGAATTAAAAGACAAAAATATTCATCAAACCACTATAAAAATTTGTGAAGATTTGAAGAACTCAAGCCAGTATAAGAGCTTGTTCGAAGATATACAGGTAAATTTGTGTTTTAATTAAACATTGTAGTTAGTTTGGTAGACAACAAAATCAGTAGGTATTACATTCACTTAACAAAATTTGAAAACAACATAAATATATTTTCTTACATACATAGGTATAGGTGCTATAAACAATCGGGATTTGGCTTCAATAACATTTCAATGATTTTTAAAAAAAATTTAAATGTGCTTAAAATATTATTCTCTACTTTATGCATAGAGACGTGCACCAAATTTCGTAAAGATATCTTTAATAACATCAGAGTTAATATAAAAAATAGAAAAATTTACCCCCTGTATACCAAAAGTTAAGATGTTTAGCACATACATTCATAATATGAAGTTTTTTTGCAGAATTAGTTCAAGAACTACCCCACTAAATATTAGCATATTATATATAAGGAACAATCTCTGTATACTGGTGCAGTCTCAAAAAGTGGCTCACCCTATAACTTTATTTTTTCAGATAAAACCAGATTTGGTATGTTAGTATAGACATAAATTTGGATTGATTGACGTATTCATTTGTTTTCGGTTACTTCCTCTTCACCGGAAATGACTACAACTTTTGATTTTTAAATGGCACTCTCGGTATATTTTTAGTTTGTCTAGTTTTAACTTAACCTAACCTAACCACTCGGCGTAGCAAAATTTATCAAAAATATAAATATCTTTTCAAGTAGCTAAGTTAAGAATAAATATGTGCCACGGCACTGTTTGGTGGTATAGTAACAATCTGGTCTCGGGTGTTATTAGTCCTTGTATTCTAGTCATTCAAAATAATAATATTTTTTCTACAAATATGTCACCAATAATTGTGACAATGTCACAGTTCAAAATGACTTAAGAAATCTATCAAATTTTTGTCAATAATTATTTGTGCTATTTTTTGTTGCTAGAAATTAGTTGCAACACCCAGTGTGAAAATAGAAGATTTCAAGAGCACGTTGCTGAAGTGTATGCAGGAAAATGGTTTGGAAGCTGAGTTAAAGAATAATATCTATCGTTGGGTTAAAATGAAGAGGAAAGAAAGCAGTTCATATGATTCTTTTTCAAGTAAAACTATACTTAACATTGGAATACGAGCACAATTATTACAGATTATAAACTTTGTTTTTCTTTAATTTGTTTTTTCGTGGTTCCAATTCCAGAGTCGCGCACTAGTACTATGTTACTAGTTTGCGCAAAATACATAGCACGCCCACTTATGGCCCACAAATTGTGCAACAGCGCCTAACCGCACAGTTAATTAGAGAGGAAATCGGAAAAACCGTAAATAGCTCATGCAGTATTACCCGCCTTATCATGGTTACTATATTCGCGAGTCAATTTTTAACACAACACCCGCTAATAACGTTACCGCCTGATCTGTTACACCCTAAGGTTACACCAAGCGCTATTTCTAAGTAACGTTTAAAAATTGCTTAAATTGGCATGTGCGTATTTGACAACCGGGGCCGACCGGCGCGCGGCCAAGACTTTTATTAGTTCATGTTGAATTTTGATTAGATTACTTTATTTTGATTATGTAATTTGAATTTAAGTAGCTGATAGTTTTAATTAATAAAAAATGGCCAAAATAGGATTCCACATCTTCCAATATTAAAAACCTAAAAGATGCTTTAATTACATCAAATGACGATTTAGCCCTTCTAAGAGAATATGTTGCTTGTTGCCCTAAAACCCACTAGCAGACGTTAAACAATAAAGCACTGGAAATAAGCACTTAGCCCTTTAAGTTTTTAAAATACCTAATTAAACCAAAAAACAATTCAAAGTTTTAAATTCAAAGTTAGTTAAGTAAAATAGCGACGCGACACGAACAGAATCCTTTCCGATCCGATAAGTATAAATGAAGAGAGGTAATACCACCTCACGCAAAGAAAATAACACCTGGCCTTATTAACTTCCATGCACGATATTCGGTTTAGCGATATCTCTTCTATTACGCTGTATTTATTTACCGCGAGTTTATTTTTGCGCACAGAAATTTTACTCGTTTGCACATCGTCATTAAAAAAACATTTCTTACCACGAATTAGAACAAGATTTTTATTTGTATTATACTTATAGAATACCTATTCTGTGATTGAAGTAACATCACTTGCTAAAAGATTATTGAGATTTAAGCGTCTTCACTATAGTATAAGTGGTGTGACAATTTCGATGCTCAATATTGGCATCTCAGGAACTACGAGAGTTACGAATTCGGTTAAATGCAAAATGCGTAATTAAAATGTTGACAAACGCTTATTGAAGAAAATCCCGGTATCTTGATTAAATGATTATTGTTTCGGCTTTTACAAATGAAAAATAATACGTTTATATATTAAATGACAATATCTTCAGAACTATTGTATCTATGCAACGTAAGTTGGTAGATTTATATTTTGACATCGGCCATTTAGATGCCGTTTTCAGAAAAATTTTTAAGCCTTCTAGATTTCGCAAAACAAACCAGTCAAGTTGTTGTTTTCTTATGGCCCATTTACGTTTTTATACTGTTAGATAGAGTGAAAAAAAGTCTATACGGTGGAATCTATTTTTATCATAGTATATAAAATTCACTATTAATAATTCGCTCAATAGATCAAGTTTGCCTTATTTCGTATCTCTCGTAGTTCCTGAGATGCCAATGTTGAGCATCGACATTGTCACCACCCTGTAGTAGCTTCAAAAAATTATTTAATTTAAGATTTAAGTAAGATTGAAGGCTAAAAGCCGTCCCCATTTCGAGTAATTCAAAATTCATCAGACAGAGTTCAGTAATAATACGATATTATTAATTGTATTTTGTCACAAACGACTGTGAGTCTAGCCCCCCCCCCTTTCTCGAATTCTGGATCCGCCCCTGATTACTCCCAAAGATTCGACAACAACCAGCATATATACAAAATAATGACGACATCAGAGACAACTCTGACTGACATTATGATAATTGTCAAATAATAAACACAACCGAAACGTTTGCTTGATCGCCGCACAATATGACCAACATGGTTTTAAAAAAATCGCTTTAAACTAATTTTGCATGCTTTAATCTAAATAAAACATCTTTACAATCATTTGCTCTATGAAGAGCTGCTTGGTATCTTAAATTATACAACAAATTTAAACATTTTTTGCCAAAATTATTATCATTTAGTTCAAAGTTTACAGTTTTAGTTCATTCGATATGATTGATGCGTGCAATCGGAAAATGTTTGATTCACCGTAGTCATAAACAGTGGCGATGTCGGTTAAACATATTTCCTGTCTAGTGACTCATCAATCGTATATAAATAACATAGGCTAGGCAAAAAATTTCTTGCTACGGAGATTACAGAATCCAAACAGTATCATCAGTTCCTTTCATATCTCATCAAGGAGATCACAACTAACAAAATATTGTTGCGAGCCGGTGTGACTCGACCTAACCTAACAATACGGCCCGCCCTCGGATGACCTTAATAACATTCGCATAGACACCGCAATGATTCATCCGTTCGAGAAGAATCGAGACCAACTAGAATGGACTAGTACATACGAGAACATTCGAAAAAACCTTCTCTACGCAACTAACGATCTATGGACAAATCTAGAGTTCTTAGCCTGTCGGTATATAGAAAGCCGCGCCAATGCCTAGAAAGGGCAGTTATAAATATACAATTGACGCGCTAAATTCAAAAAAAAAAAATTCTTAGTTATAAATCGTTTGTAAAATAGTTCTATAAGTCTTTTTATCGTTATATGTTTTACTTAGTGTTAAATAAATAGGTAAAATAATTGGATTCGATAACTATATCGTAAAACTTAAATTACATAAAAAAGTCAAAGAAAAAAAAAACAAATTTTAATCCGCATTAAACAGTCTACGCGGTTTTATTAACAAAAGAAAAAAGTCAATATTATTAAAATATGTTTTTTTTATAAAAAATATTCCATGATATTATAATAAATATAAATCTGTCACACTTTGTTTATTTGCGTTTCGTTTGAGCCATCTCAATCTCAATCAAGCAAACTTTTTTATCGTTTTTCTTAATTTTTAAAAAAAAAAAAAAAAAAAAAAATACAATTTTTAAATTTTTTTTTTAATTCAGAAAATCACAAATCCATTGGGATAAGAGAATCCATAAATCGTTGAACTCAATGTGCAGCGAATTAGGTATTAGTTTGGCAAAATTAAGAGGAAACGCGAGAAAAAAAACTTTGGAACAAGGGATGACTGAGCAATTTGAAGTTAGTAAAATAAGAAATAAATACAATTAATAATGTGTATCTATAATTTATCTTTCTATCTATACTAATGATATATAAAATCCTAGTGACTGACATACTGATTAATCACGATCCTGCTCAAAAACCACTCAACGTAAGAAGGTCAATTTTGGCATACATGTGATTCTAGGTGTAGAGGTAATAAAAGGATTTTTCAAATTCCATCTAAGAGGTGAAATGAAACCACCCTCAAATATTAACATATTTTGATTTAAAAAACGGTAAAGAAAAAAAAAAAACCTTAAACACGTATATTTATTTGTTTTACATATTAAGGTTTTAAAAATTATACAGGGTGTTGGCGAAAAATTCTGGTCATTGATTAATTCACGATCCTGCTTAAAGCACTTGAGGTAAATAGCTATTTTTAAAAACGATTACTTAGGTGGAGGGTTCGATAAGAAGGGTTATTTCGAAACTCGAATTATAAGGGGGTGAAACTACCCTCAAATATTAAAATAATTTTTATTTCAAAACCGTTGAGTATTTTGGAAGAACTCTTAAACACGTATATATTTTATTTTGTTTACATATTTTAAGTTTTTTTAATAGAATTTTATTTTTTTTTTTTTTACATATTTTAGACCATTGAGTAATCACATTCTGCTTAAACTGCTTTGACGAAGTGTAAAAAGCTGATTTTTGCAAAGGGATTGACTTTTGGTGTAGAGGTTCGATAGGAGGTTTCCGCAATCTCAAATTCCAAGAGGGTGAAACCCCTCAATATTACAAATAATTTGTTATTTAAAAAACGTTAGTCTTTCGGGAAAAACGCTGAACAAGCATAATTATTCTTTTTTTACATATTTGAAAATTAAAAAAAAAAATCATACAGGGTGTTTCCAAAAGTTGGTAATTTCTTAACCACGATTCGGCTTAAAAAACTGATTGACGTAAAAAGCTTATTTTTGGCAAACGGATTTTCGAAAGTCAAATTCCAACGAGTTGAAACAACCCCTCAAATATTACCAAGTTATATAATAATATTGCCATATTGTTTTTTCTCATGCTCACATAAATGTGAGAAGATTTTATCCAGTTTGTATGTTAATGGAAATTCTTGCTTTGCTTTATCATCTCCATTACAAATGATTAATTCGACGCGAACGAAGTCGCGGGTACACGCTAGTATTTAATAAAATAAGAATTACAATTAGATAAATAAAACAGGATTTCTTGAAATTTTATTATAGGCATCTAAATTTTTTTTTAGACTGATATTCATAAGTACCGACCAGTCTATGCTCCAAAAGATTTTTTAGAAGTGTTATTAAACTTAAAGGGTCCTAACAGAGACAAGTCCAAATGGTAAGTAAATACTGTACTGACATTAAAGGGGCCCACAGACGATACAATCGGTTGTACAACTGATCGTACGATAGGTTGGACGAAAAATCGTTCAGACAGATCGTAGATACTTTTGGTTACAACGTAACGACATTCTGAAGCGACTGGTAGTACGATTAGTTAAATGTTTTAATGTTGTTCTTAAATCCTCGTCGAAACGCCGTTCTGATATTATTAATTTTCTTTTTAAGAAGTTCTAATGTTGCATCTGGATTTATTTCTTTCATTTTTCTCAGCAACACTTCGTAGCTGGAGTTCCGTTTGTGTTTATTGGAATATTCCTCACTTTTAACATTCCATAAGCACGAATGGTCTCTATAAATTTCAACAAATTCTGTCCAAAACTGCCTATCTTCCTCCATGGTGAAACACCACAATCTCACTACACGATGTATTTCTGTATTAACATAGTAGCAACAAGTCGGTGAAAAAGCCACAGACGTTCAAACTTGTCGTTGATCCAACCAAGTTGTACGACAGATTTTTAAACATGCTGAACTACCAAACGATCCAACCGCGTCTTAACAACAAGTTGGACGACAAGCCCACAGACGTTACGATTGTCGTTCAAACAGTTGGATCAAACTAAACCGTCCAACTTGTTGTACAACAGATTGGATCGTCTGTGGGCCGTTTAAAAGCATAATATTTTATGGAATGTTACTTTTTTTAGCGATAATCAAAGATGGGAATTTGCGCAGTTACCGCTCAGAGTGAAAAACTTATCAGAACTGGTAAATAGTTCTTTTATTTATACAGGGTGGCGCCTCTCATACGCCGCGGAAGCTCCAAGGAGAACGGTAGTTTATATCGAAATAAAATTTTGGCAGCATATGTAAGTTAACTGAAAGCATTTGAAAAAAAGTTACACATTAAAGTTGTGTTTTTTCTAACCGAACACCCTATATATTAATTGATTTTCGGATTTTAGGAAAAAAATAAAGGTGAGTTTTATTAAAGAAGCATATATGTACCTAAAATCTAAGGATTTTGACATATTTCACATTTTGTAAAAATGAAGAGTAAATTTTAAATTTTGATAACAGATACCTAAATTTTAGTTGACCTTGTATAGCCTGATATTTAATTACAGTAACGATTGTATGTTAAACCAAATTGAAGTTATACAGGGTGAGACAAATTAATATGGAACATTAGTCAATTTTAAAACCAAGCTTCTCCTTTATTTTAAATGGAACACCCAGTATATTTTTTTGGTGTTCAATGGGGAATTTATATATCTTCAAAATATTACTAAGGTCGCCTATCCCTCAGACAAAAATTTCCTAGACATTTTAATTTTTATGATTTTGCGTCAGTAGATCTTTATTATTTGAAAAAATCTAGGGTGGCTGTGTGATACCCTTTGGTTAATTTAACAAAAATTAAAGATTGTAGAGTAAAATACTCAACGGTAATAAAAAGATACACGTTTAAAACATATTTTAATTATTACAGAATTAAAACTAGATATAAACCTATAATTATGTGACAAAAATTAGCCAGATGAAATCAAATGCTCAAAATGCTTCCTTTCCTGTTAACTGCATAAAATAATTGTCTCTGGAGTTCTGCCTCGAAAAGCATATACATTAATTTCTTACATGTTGTCGACAACAGTGGTCGAGTTTTGTAAACACTGTCTTTAACATATCCCCCCAAAAAACAGACTATTATAAAATCAGTTGCATTTAAGTATTCTATTAATTGGTGAATGCACACTGCATTCACCAACTAATAGAATCATATCAATTCTCTCTGATGTAGGATAAGTTTGCATTTTCGGCAAATTTCTGATAATTTTTTTTTGTTTTAACTGACACAAAATGATAACTAGTTGTTAAAGTTGGACTAATTAGATAGCTATGTTGAAGTAACGTCAGACACATCATAGCCACCCTAGAATTTATCAAATAATAAAGCTCTACTCAGATCGAATGAAAATATCTATAGGAAAATCTTTGTTTGAAGGGTAGGCAACCTTAAAAGTATTTTGAAGAGACATGAATTCTCCATTGAGTATCGGAATAATATACTGGGTGTTCCATTTAAAATAAAAGAGTAACATACTTTTGAAGGTTACCAATGTTCAATATTAATTTTATCTCACCCTGTATAACTTTTTGGATCAAGTTTTAATTTGATTTTAAGTACATTTAACTACATATTAGGTTATACCGGGTAAATTCCAATTTAAGTAGCTTTTATTGTAATTTAAAAAATTGTTCCTTATTTCTTGAAAATGTTAAATATGTAAAAAACCTTACATTTTAGTCATATACTTCTCTTATAAAACTCACTTTTATTTCTCTCCCAGAATCTGAAAATCAATTAGTATACCGGGTGTTGCATCGTCGGACGGGACATAGGAAATCCCATGTAAATTTTAATGGGGTCAATTATTGAAACTTCCCTAATTATTTTTAGAGAATAATTCTGTTTTAGGTTTATTGGAGAGCACTAAAACCCACATTCAAAAGAATAACTTTAGATATTTTTGATTAGCCCGTTTACGAGTTATCGCCGATTTCTTTTTAAATATTTCTCCTTTCTTATGGCCCTGTATTTACTTATGAGCACCAGTCAAGGTAAAAGATAACTGTCAAATGAAGTTGTCATTTCAGAAATTTACCTATTTAGTGCTTTATTATTATTGAAAACTCATTCCTACATCGGAAATCTTCAAGATGTATTTATAAATACAAATTAATATGAATTAAAGTAAAATAAAGTAATCAATTACAAGTATAGTATTATTACAATATTCAATAACTTATTAATTTAGGTACTATTAAATGACAACTTCATTTGACAGTTATCTTTTACCTTGACTGGTGCTCATAAGTAAATACAGGGCCATAAGAAAGGAAAAATATTTAAAAAGAAATCGGCGATAACTCGTAAACGGGCTAATCAAAAATATCTAAAGTTATTCTTTTGAATGTGGGTTTTAGTGCTCTTCAATAAACCTAAATAGAATTATTCTCTAAAATAATTAGGGAAGCCAATAATTGACCCCATTAAAATTTACATGGGATTTCCTATGTCCCGCTCGACGATGCAACACACGGTATAGGGTGTTCCATTACAAAAAATACAACTTTGATATGTAACTTTTTTTGGGGACACCCTGTAGAACTCTCTATATTTTTAAAAAGTGCTCTGAACTAACCTACATATGCTCACAAAAATTTCATTTCAATACAAACTGTCGTTCTCCTTGAAGCCTCCGCGGCGTATGAGAGGCGCCACCCTGTATAATAATATCTCCCGTATACACGTTTAACGCCTTGGGAGTAGCAAGGTACAGCTTGCCATGCTAGAGCCGTTCGGTATCCAAGGAAGGTAATGTGGCTAGCACTACGCTTCAGCCGCCTATTATTACCTCAGGATTGTGAATCCCAAGTACTCATTTAAGGCTGAGTCGACCTAGGTACCTGAACAATTTTTATTTTTAATAAAAATAGTCGGCTGATGAAATGCCGGCTGTAGGATTCGAACCCACAACCTTGAGATTGGTAGACGAGAGCTGTACCTCTACACCACCCGGCACTTTTTTATTTAACACGAAATTACAATATTACCTTTTTAGAGAAATCTCTACTTAGAGATATCAAGAGGAGAGCAGATTCTGAACAGCAACACCATGCTGAGTACGAATCAAAACTTTGTTCAGTTAGAAGCGGAAAGAATATTGCTTGGTGAAAAAATTCTTATGAAGAATTACGCACCATTAGCTCAAGAATATTTGAAGAAAGGATGTCCAAAGTGTTTAAGAGCGAGAATATGGGCCTTGCTGTTAGGTGCTGAAATTAAATCATATGTAAGTATTACCACAAGGTAATACCACAGATTAGACAGATTATAAACTTTGTTTTTTCTTTATTGTTTTTTGTGGTTCCAATTTTCGGAATCGGGCACTAGTTAGGTTACCAGTTTGCGCACATAGCACGCCCACTTATGGCCTCTAAAATTGTGCACAGCGCCTGACCGGCACAGTTATTAGAGAGATATCGGAAAACCGAATAGCGTCATGCAGTATTTACGCATACCTTATCATGGTTACAATATGCGCGAGTCAATTTTTAACGCAACACCCGCTAATAACGTTACCGCCTGACGTAATTTGCGGATCAATTACACCAAGCGCTATTTCTAAAATAAAGTTTAAAAATTGCTTAAATGGGCCGGCGAGATCTTTTATTTTAGGTTATGTTTGAATTGTTTTGAATTATTACTTTAGTTTTATTAGGTAATTTGACATTTAAGTAGCTGGGATTAGTTTTAATTAAATAAATATGGCCCAAAATATGGATTCCACCTCTTCCAATATTAAAGAACCTATAAAGAGGCTTAGGTTTACAGCAGATGACGACTTAGCCCTTCTAAGAGAATTTGTTGCTTGTTGCCCTAAACCCACTGGCAGACGTTGAACAATAAAGCACTGGAAATAAGCACTTTAGCCCTTTAGTTTTAAAATACCTAGTAAACACAACAATTTCAAAGTTTTAAATTCAAAGTTAGGTTAAGTTTAAATCGGGGATGCGACGCGAACAGAATTCTTTTCGATCCGATAAATATAAATGAAGAGAGTTAATACCACCTCACGTAAAGGAAATAACACCTGGCCATATTAACGTCCATGCACGCTATTCGGTTTAGCGATATCTCTCTATTACGCTGGTTATTGTTATTTTACGCGAGTTTATTTTTGCGCACAGGAAATTTTACTCGTTTGCACATCGTCATAAAAAGCAATTTTCGTACCACGAATTAAGGACAAGATTTTTATCTGTATACTTATAGGATACCTAATCTGTGGTATTACCGTTGATTGAAAGAATTGTGAAGATACCCAACCTAATGGGCGAATTCGTAACAAGGCTGATTTGGTTTCCCCATACATGTCAAGTGCAGTACGGTGGAGCTACAAATCGTTTTGTGGCGAACGCATAAAACACTCATTTTCTCTAATTCGGCTAGCGAAGGTATATCGAAGACGGTGTGGAACTGAAAGCCACAGTGTTGCCATATTAAAATGTGTAATATCTGTAATACGTTTGACGAAAATATCTTTGGATGAAAAATCCGCGTTTATACAGGGTGACGCACCTCATTCGCCTCGGTTGATTATACGAAAACGGAAAGATGTAGAAACAAAATATTTTATGGGTATATGTGGGGAGGCAATGTGCACAATTTAAAATTATTTTGAAATATACAGGGTGTCTCAGAATTAAGATCCATACCAAAGTTATATTTTTTTCTTATGAAACACACACCCGGTATTTTATTTCATTTTTGGATTCTTGAGTCCAAAAAAAGGCATTTATTATAGGGGTTAAATATGTTTAAAATCTTTGGTTTTTGAGATATTTAAAGATATTTAAATATACATGCTACAAAAGAATGGATTATTAGCACCCTGTACATTACTTTTCAGAATTAATTCTTGTGCTGAGTTTAAAGGTAAAAAAATAAACTTTACTGAAAAATATTATTGCTTGCTTAAATTTATACAGGGGTACCAAAAATTGGTGATCTATTTTAAGGATTTATTTTACATAAAAACTTTGTTATTTCAAATGCAACACCCTGTATTTTTTTAAATAAGTTGAAGCATGATTCAAATGCTCTTTCAAACTATATTAGGGTTTCCTATACCTATCTATCTCAGATTTTGAATAAAAAGCGATTTTTAAATAAAATGGCAATCAAGATGGCTGGTATCGCCATGGCAATTTTCTAGTGACAGTTAGTAACTATTTTCAAAATCGACATTAGTTTATAGACTTTATTTAAATCTATACCCAGTTTACTTTTATTTAATTGACCTACAATAGTTTAATAAATAATATTTATTAATATGTATTTATTATTTTATCAAGAAAAACGAAGTAGTTCTTTGTTTTATTTTACGATAACTTGTAGATATATGAATTTTTTATAAAAGAGCCAATTACGGCAAATTCAATTTCTTCACTTCCCACGACAGGTTTCTGTCTAATAGGTTTTTTATAAACTACACTACCAATTCTGCGAAATAGGAAATAGGACAAGTAATTTTTCAAAGGAAATCTTATCAGGAAGATTCCTATTTGGATATCTTTGAGCATTAGCTCTTGAGGCTAAGAAAAAAAAAATCCTCACAAAACAAAATAACTAGTAACTAGTAACATATCCATTCGTTCCACCAGCAGATACATATGGCTTTATTTTTCTTCATAAACTAAAGAATACTTATTTATTAAAATATTGTGGGTAAATTTTAGTAAGCTGTTTAAATAATAATGTCCATACACTAATGTCGATTTTGAAAATAGTTACTGACACTAGAAAATTGCCATGGCGATATCCGCCATCTTGATTCCCATTGTATTTAAAAATCGCAAATCTGAGATAGATAGGTATAGGAAACCCTAATATAGTTTTAAAGAGCATTTGAATCTACTTCAATTTATTTAAAAAAATACAGGGTGTTGCATTTGAAATAACAAAGTTTTTATGTAAAATAAATCCGTAAAATAGATCACTAATTTTTGGTACCCCTGTATAAATTTAAGGAAACAATAACATTTTTCAGTAAAGTTTATTTCTTTACCTTTAAACTCAGGACAAGAATTAATTCTGAAAAGTAATGTACAGGGTGTTGAAAATCAATTCTCTTGTAGCATGCATATTTAAATATCTCAAAAATCTATGACTTTTAACATATTTAACCCTTATAATAAATGCCTTTTTTGCGCCCAAGAATCCAAAAATGAAATAAAATACCGGGTGTTCCATAAGAAAAATATAACTTTGGTATGAATCTTAGTTCTGGAACACCCTGTATATTTCAAAATAATTTTAAATTGTGCACATTGCCTCCCCACATATACCCATAAAATATTTTGTTTCTACATCTTTCCGTTTTCGTATAATCAACTGAGGCGAATGAGGTGCGTCGCCCTGTATATTGAGAATGTATTCGTGTTAAACATAGAATAAACAACAAAAGTAAACATTTCTTTTATAGATACCGAATATTTCGTATGATCGAAAAAGTCGTTTAGTTGGTTTGAAAATGACGATTATTAACATTTACCGTAATATTTTACATATGAAATAACAGCGATTCCAAGCCAACTCTGACGCCGTTCTGTGTTTAATCATATAATATTATATTAAATTGTTTAATGATAGAAAATCCGTATTATTAACGTGCTGCACCCAAAATCCGGAAATCTACGGATTAATAAGTAGTTCTGACAACACTGTCTCCGGCAACTACCCACTCTGTCGACTGAAAGCAGAACTACGGTACAGTATTCTTTATCTGCTGCGCTGTAAACTACTATCAGCGCGCAGCGGCGCAGAGCTAAACTAAATCTCGGACAGGTTGACGGTAACGGCAGCTACATCTCGGACAATTAAGGCTGCGCATCTTCTTATTTCTTCAATCAACGAAAATATTTCTTTTTAGCAAATCTCCTATTTCGATTTTCTGAAACAAAACGTTCTACAATACGACCTGATGATAGACAAGCTAATAATTAAAGATATCAATCTGACAGCTTCAAACGACGACCAGTATTTTGTATTTGAAGATGTCTTATATCAGGTAAAGATGTAATAGGTTTGATTTTATTCACATTTTATTTGGTATTATTCATTAAAAAAGATTTGTTAATTTAAGGTAATGCTTTGTTTCTCCAGAGATTCGGAAATATTGAAGTACCTGCCCAATCAGCCTGCATTTATGCAAGTGGCCTTTAAAGGAAAACCGAACACACCCGAGAATACCATTGTGTTTCCACCAAGTGGTGTCATACCATTTCACGGCTTTACAATGTACGGTAAGAATACTTGCTCAAGATTTTCCTAGATAGTTTCATTTACATTATTTGATCCAGGGCCGTATCTAGACCAAAATTTCGGGGTTTGGCTTGGGGGTACAAAACTGCAAGAAAAAAAGCATAATAAAAAAATCGCTTTGGGCTACACTCAAATCTTAATTGAAAATAAAATTTTAAAAAAAATAACAGGTAAAAATTATTAATTTTAAAGGATAAACTGGTCTTTTCCCTGGAAAAACGATTGCCCGATTCTTCCTGGAAAAACGATTGATATGATTCTTCGATATCGATATTTATTTCTCTATGTACGCTTAATAGAGCAAGTCCTGTCAATCGCTCCTGACCTGTAGAGTTACGTAGAAAGTCCTTCAATCGTCTTATGCCGCAACCGCACATGCGGCATTTAGCGAACTCCGAGCGCTCGTCAACTACCGAACGCTCGTGGATCGGACTTCGCCTTTCCATCCACACATGCGGGCTCTGATAGCAACAACATAGAGACGAGCGCTCGTTCTCATCGCCGATCGTGTCGCCGAACTCCGACTTCCTCATCCACACACATAGGAAATCGGCAAAGCCCCGATCGGAGATCGCCGAATACCGCATGTGCGGTTGCGGCATTGGGTTGAAAAAGACCTTTCTGGTTTAGCTGTTGACACTGGTAGAGTTGGTAGGATCATTAATAAAATGTATATATTTGGAAATATACACTGGTTACACTCCGATTATCGCCGCTAAAGTGTCATAGTCCAAGAATTCTTTGTCTAATAGCAGAACAATAACAAACGTTAATTACGTTAATGACCAGCAAAACACACAACATTCAAAATCTTGTCCTTGTTAAACTTTTTCTGTTTTAAACACTTGAATGTTGAAAGTCGAAAATCGAAAATGACATTTGCTTTCAAAGTGGAAAAGTGAGGTTAGGGTGTATAATGTATATTTATCAATGACTAAAGAATACAAGGACAAATAGCACCCGAGACCAAACTGTGACCATCCTTCCAAACAGTGCCGTGGCACATATTTTACTTAACATTGCCGCTTGAAGGGATATTTATATTTTTGATATTATATGTTTTCACTACGCCTATGGTGTATCGGGTGGTATCATACTGATTAATTACGAAAAAAACGTATTAAAATGTTAACAAAAGGTACATAACTAGTATCGACGTATAGTACATATCAAGTACATATAATATCAGAAAAATAATTATCGAATTCAATAAAAAAACGCTAAAAAGGTGTAGGGGACTATTTATTTCCATATAAAACGTAACTTCTGGCTCTTTCTTACATTGCGCCTTTTACACTTGAAAGCTGAACAAATTACCATTGTAATAAAGTTTATACAAAGTCCACTACACACAACCAACTATTAAAAATCGCTAAAATTGTCGCTGATGACCAGCTGATGATGTCGTTATGTCTAAAAAGTTGGCGTCTAAGGTCACAAATTCTGCTGCAGCCCGTATATGGACGTTACATGTCCTGGTATTCTTTAGTCATTGATATTCATCCATCTTCTTCTTGTTCTTTTTTGTTTTGTTCTTATTTACTTACTCAATGATCATTACTTTTTAAAAATTTTCGACCATAATTTCGGGGGGGGGGTTTGAACCCCCAAAACACCCCCCCAGATACGGCCCTGATTTGATCTGAGTAGATCTTTATTATTTGATAAAATCTAGGTGGCTGTGATATGTTTGACTTTACTTCAACATAGCTGTCTAATTCGTCCAACTTTAACAACTAGTTATCATTTTGTGTCAGTTAAAACAAAAAAAATTCTCAGAAATTTGCCGAAAATGCAAACTTCCTACACCAGCAGCGGCGGCGGCGTGCGGTTCATGGAAGCGGGGGAAGCACCGCTTCCCTAAACTCTTTAAAGATAAAAAAATAAATAGTTAAACGTTAATAATACTGTTATTTTATAACAAAAGATTAATTTAATTTGTTAAAATTATTTATTTGAAACCTTACATAAACGTAGTAAATTTAATTAGCCTTTTACTGCATGGATGCGCGTCTGGAAATCGCTGCCGGTCGCCTATCCCTCCTACATGTAGGTGTTATTGACCTCGAACGCAAACGACAAATTTAAGCCGGAAAATCGCGCACAGTTGCTAGCCACGGCAGCGATCTTTCGGCCGCCTTCCTCGACTTTTAATTTGTCGTTCGTTTGCGATTTTATAGGTAATATTATAATAAATTAAATCCAAAATTCTATGATGATGTTATAGACAAATTTGCAATGGCTGATAGACGAATAGACCTCAAATACAAATAGGTGCCTATCGCGCGTCAAGTGCTTCGGAAAATGAATTTAAAATATCGTATTTTAACTATTAAAAATTTAATGTTTTTTGTTTGTTTAACAATTTTCGATAGAATTTTAACGAACAATGGAATTGGCCTCGGAATTTTCAAAGGTAAGTTTTTTAAGAAAATGTGAAAGTCATGTCTCGAAATAGGGTTTTTTACCGATTCGCTTCCCCGCCTATAATTGTCACCGCACGCCACTGTACACCAGAGAGAATTGATATGATTCTATTAGTCTAGTTTAATTAATAGAATACTTAAATGCTCCTGATTTTATCTAGTCTGTTTTTTTCATGGGGATATGTTAAAGACAGTGTTTACAAAACTCGACCAACTATTGTCTACAACATGAGAGAAATTATTGTAGCTGCTTTTCGAGGTAGAACTCCACATATGCCTTTCAAAAGGAAAAGATCCATTTGAAAAGACGATCATTTTATGCAGTTATCAGGAAAGGAAGCATTTTGAGCATTTGATTTCATCTGACTAATTTTTGTCACATAATTATAGGTTGATATCTAGTTTTAATTCTGCAATAATTAAAATATGTTTTGAACGAGTATCTTTTTATTACCGTTGAGTATTTTACTCTACAATCTTAAATTTTTGTTAAATTAACCAAAGGTATATCACACAACCACCCTAGATTTTTTCAAATAATAAAGATCGACTGACGCAAAATCATAAAAATTAAAATATCTAGGAAATCTTTGTCTGAAGGGTAGGCAACCTTAGTAATATTTTGAAGATATATAAATTCCCCATTGAACACCGGAAAAATATACTGGGTGTTCCATTTAAAATAAAGGAGAAACTGGGTTTTGAAAGTGACTAATGTTCCATATTAATTTTGTCTCACCCTGTATAACTTTTCGGGTCAAATTTTATTTTGGTTTAACATACAATGGTTACTGTAATTAAATATCAGGCTATACAAGGTCAACTAAAATTTAGGTAGCCGTTATCGAAATTTAAAATTTACTCTTCATTTTCACAAAATGTGGAATATGTCAAAATCCTTAGGTTTTGGGTATATGCTTCTTTAATAAAATTTACCTTTATTTTTTTCTTAGAATCCGAAAATTAATTAATATAGGCGGGTGTTCCATTAGAAAAAACACAATCTTGATGTGTAACTTTTTTTTACACCCTGTATAATTCTATATAGTTTTATAAAATGCTTTCAGTTAACCTACATATGCTGCCAAAATTTCATTTCGATATAAACTACCGTTCTCCTTGGAGCTTCCGCGGCGTATGAAAGGCGCCACCCTGTATAGAAATTTTTTCTGTCCCAATTGAAAATTAAATTCTAATTTATATATTTTAGCTGCCCCATTTTGTTACCTCTTCAACAATTCTGTGGAGCTTTACTTCGTATTTCGAGCCTTCTACTTGAGATATTGGCATCGATTGCACAGAGTCTGCGCAAGTTCCCAAGGAATAGTGTCGCTCTGTTTGCAATTCGAAAGATTATTGCAATGTTACGAACCAAACTTGTGGAACCATTTCAAAAAGTGCAGAATATATCCGTAAGTAATTTTAGTATTGTATATCTAATAATATTTGTTTTAATAATAGAAACGTTCACAAAAAAAATTAAAACATGCCTACTTCTCATAAAATCATTCATTATGACATTAAAACTCAGTATGCAAAGTTTCATAACATTCCGTAAAAGGCTTATGCCTCAAAAATCCGTGCGAAATTATCGCAATCGTTTGAATCCGCTAAACGCGGCCTGACGTCACTGCTTCGATCGGTATTTCCGCGCGAGTAAACGGTGCTGTCTGCACGCTGTGGAATTTCTAACAGAACAAGCTAAAATACGACATATCGCGTTGTGCTCGGATGTAGTTTGTATATATATTAAATTTGGTTTATTGTGATTAATATTTGGAGTTTATTACTAGTTTAAAAACAAAAGCTACTTAATGAGATGGAGGACGGGTTTACTTGAAAGCGATAACAAACAACACTTTGGTATTTAACAATACAAAATTATTGCGTTTTTGAGCTGTCAGAGACCCGTATTTAGGAGGAGGGGGCCAAATTTTAATTATCATATTAAACTGAAAATTTGCTTGCGTATATAGAAGCTAAGACAATGTAAAATTATCGTATTGTTGATCTGACACAGGGCCGTATTAAGGAGAAGGAGCCAAATGTTAAATTTTAATTGTATTGACCTGAAAATTCGCACACGTATACAGGGTGTCCAGTTTAAAACGAGGTACTTACATGGGGAATAATGGGGATCTTGAAGACCGTTAAAGTTACAAGATCGATTAAATAGAAGAAAAGTTGCGTTTTTGTGTGTGTTCCAAAAATAATCTAGGTCTATTTTATTTAATATTCATATACCGTTAGGTAAATACAGGGAGAAAAAGAAAAATGTGCATTTTCTAAACACCACCATATTTTCTTTATTATTGGAGCTAAGGTCATTAAAATTTTAACATAGGGGTAAGGCAATATGGAAATTTTAAAAATTATGTCCAAAAAAGTCTAGGCGTACTACATTGCGCATGGCCAAAATGTACTTTTGCTTTTCCTATGGGCGCCATATATATGGTTGAAAACATTTTTAAAAAGGATTTTTAAAATGCCAAATTTAAATATGGCGCTCATAAGAAAAATAAAAGCTGACCTCGGCCGTGCGCAACATAGAAGGCCTAGGTTTTTTTTGATATCGTTTTTAAAATTGCCATGTTGGCTTGCCCATATATTGAAATTTTTATTACCTTAGCTCCAATAATAAAGAAAATATGGTGGTTTTTCGAAAATGTTCATTTTTTCTTTTTCACCTTGTATCTACGTAACGGTATGGATTTAAAATAAAATAGACATAGATTATTTTTGGGAACACAAATACGCAACTTTGCTTCCATTTAACCGACTTGTATCTTCAACGGTTTCCAAAAGACCCCATGTACCTCATTTTAAATTGGACACCCTACATGACCCATATTAAGCGAAAAATTTAAAATTGAATGGGTGAAAAAATTGATAAAAAAAACTTACTTACTTTCTACTTAAAAGTAGAAAATAAGGATTAAAAGCAAGGGGCGGAAAGTAACGATTTAAACTTCTGTGGAATATTTTTTGAAGTATTAATACACCCAGGGACAAAACATCACTTATTTGAACTCATTTTACTTCTTCAAAACACCAAAACAATGAAAATAAACATATACCTTCACGATGAACGTCTGCAAAAACAATGCGGCAAGTGCACGATCGTACGGACGCCATCGATCGATCAAAGCAGTGACGTCAAAAACAGGTAGCCTCGAGCCGGGTACGTTTTCTAGCCTTGCTGCATTTCTCAATTTTGTTTTGCGTTTATGTAAGAAAATTATAGTTTTTAAGAAAAATTTTCAGTGCCATGTTTTTTTACTCATATGTAGCTATCGAAATTCATTGAAATTAGAAATTAGTGAACATGTCTATTGTGACTAGGTAAATATAAAAAAAAACTATTTTATTATTTTTTTGTTTTATGCGTATAAAACTATTTGTTGCCCGTAAAAAACTATTTGTTACGCGTTATAAACTATTTGTTACACGTTATAAACTATTTGTTACACGTAAAAAAAGCATTAAAAAAGTATTTTTACGCGTAAACTACACTCACCGGCAAAAAAAACCGGCCACTAAATACTAGTCCCAATTTCAAAGTTGGATTCCTCGGGAACTACTCATTAGATTTTGATGATTTTTTTTAAATTGTAAATTAGTTCCTTCTTAACATATGCTACGTCAAAAATTTTTATTCCGAATTTATTTTGAACATATACAACTATACTACAACAATAAGACAACATACACACTACAACAATAAGACGAAGTTTTTTGCCCGAACTTTCTAACACCCTATAGGATGCAGCAGCTGTAGTAGTTATTGCTAAATCAAATCACATTGTAGCCTCATTCTGTCTGAGCATTTTGTTTTTTTTTTAATCACGACATTATCTCTGTTTGTATTGGAGATACGACGCTTCTTTAAAACGAACGTCTCGGAAAAATGCTTCGCAGGCAAAACCGAGATTCATCCGTGAAAAGGACTATAGTCCATTGCTCATTATCCCAATTCACATGTAAACGTGCAAACTGAAGACGAGCTTGACGATGGCTTGGAAGTAGCTGGGGTCCTGTGGCAGGCCTCCTTGCAGACAAGCTGTTTTCTTTTAGTCTTCGTCGGATTGTTCTCTCACTGACACTTTTGGCTGAATGAGCAGTCCTATTAAGGTGCGTATTCATTATCCGCACGAACGAACGAACGAATGTTCGCTAGTGGTATGGACGGGGACCGCACGATAGGACCGCACGAGAAGACCGGAGGCATTTGTTGGCGAACGCCTTTGATGTACCGACTCGAAACGGATGGTGGAGCGAACGAATGAACGAACGGCCGCATGCGTTCGGTCCCCGTCTAAATATACCGCACTTTCATTCGTTCGTTCGGATAATGAATACGCACCTTTAGGTTAACTGTTCTTGGTTCCCGCGGGCTTACGTCCAAAGTTGGCATACTGTGGGCCAAATTAAATTGGAACCTTTTTTAATGCCTAATAATTTTTAATTTTTAAATGTCTTTTTTTATAATTTTTTGGATATGTTATGGCCTACGATATTAGAATAAAAAATACTTTGCAAAGCGGGTCTACTTCAGTAGCATACAGACTTTGAATTAACGTAAAACTTTTAAAATAAAAAAAATAATACATTTTAATGTACGCCACTGAAGTAGAGTAGCTTTTATCATTGTTGTTTTGACTGTTTTTATCTGTGGTAGTATTATCACCGTCACTACTGTCAAAGTCACTAATTAAACTTCTACGTCCTGGTGTCTGAGGTGGTAGGTATTCTGAACCAGATTCAATTACGAATGGCTCAGATTTGCTGCTCAACGAACGATCACAATCACTCATTTTAATGTTAGATAATAATAATATTTAACAAAATTATACAAATCTGATGATTTTGGCTACTGTAGTATAATGAGCTTAAAGTTTTTGAATTTTTTGAAAATTATAGATGCCTGACCCTCGATTTTACGCATAAAGCATAAACATCACATTAACCAATCTCACCGCGACTTTTAAACAGGGGGTTCCCCTTTAATAAACGAATTTTAAACGGGGGTTCCCCTTTTGTCAAGATATCAAGAAATTTCAAGATTTCTTGAATCAAGACAAGAAATCAACTCTCAAGAAATGGTCACGACAAGATTTTTTTTTAATTCTTGAAAATATTTCAAGACAAGACAAGAAATTGCTGGTCAAGACAAGATTTCCTGTCTTGCCGATCCCTATTTACGTGAGGAATCTCCCCACGAGAGATGGCACATGTTTTTTGAAACACCCTGTATAAATATGTATTTTCCTTTTAGCTTAAGAGTGGTTATCAAGTGGATCATGAGAGCTTTCAGTGGTCATCTCCCACCAGAACAACTACTGACTTTATGGGACATTATTTTGGCCTACGATTCGCTGGAGATCATCCCACTATTGGCAGTGGTCATCGTCATTTTCAGGAAGGAGAATCTGATGAAAGTTAACACTCTAGCTAACGTTGAAGCCGTGTTAGCTGACCTCAGCTCTATAGCTGTAGTGCCTTTGCTGCAAATGGCATTGATGAAGGAGGAGGGTTGAAGAAATATATCTATTGTGTTTGTTGAAAAATAAAGTTGGAAAATAAATTTTAGAATACTGATCGATATCTTTGTTTCCATAGCAACTGTTAAAATTACCTTATATCTATCAAAAATAGTAGATAAAATAGTACATTAACCGCAAGGGTAGATTAAATGATACTTTAACAGCGAGGATAGGTTAAAAACTCTATTTCTTCTCGCACGTTTTTTAATTGCTTCCATTTTTGAAAACTTTTGTATTCCTTTTCATAAGTTATTCGGGATTTAAATGGAAGTAGTTTGGATATGGCGTTTGTCGCCTCAGCCTGAATATCTGTTGGTAATTTACTTATTTCGTTTTGGGCAATTTCTGGTTTCAATTCAATCTGCAATCGACACGAAAGAGAATTAAAAAATATTGACTCAAAACTGACAACTAAAGAGACAGCTTTATTTATTTGAAACCAACGCCAACCCAGCACAATATTTTTTCTACTCGTAATAAATTCCTTGAAATAATAATTTCTGAATATTTTTTAAATTAAAACGTAAAGCTTGATTTTCATGCATCCGTTGTCCGTTGTCCGACGATACGATATTAATTTTATTGGTTGAATTTAAAGGCTTCGATTGGTTAACCGTTTCTAACCAATCAAAGTCTTTAAATTCAACCAATAAAATTAATATCGTATCAACGTATCGTCGGATAACGGATGCATGAAAATCAAGCTTTAACTCGCTATAGAGCAAAATAAAACACTAAATCACCACAATACACCAAACAACTTTTATTTTTACACTGGACGCGCGTTTCGCTAACCATGTTAGCATCATCAGCAGTTGATTATAAACTAAAATAAAATCTACAACTACCACTAGTTTTCCACTTTCCAACGAAAGATATGAAATAGAAAGAGATTACATTAGGAATGTAGCTGAGTGTAATGGATATTCTCCTTCACTAGTTGATAAAATAATTAGAAAACGTAGGTATAGGTTACAATGATTTTGAAAAATCTGACTTTTAAGTGGAGAAAGATAATAAGTCAAAATATTTTCAATAATTCAGTTTGATAGACAGTTATCCAGTATTCAAAAGGAATCTTTTAAGAATGTCAATTATAAACTTTGTATAGTGCTAATAATCACTACAACAATTATTAGGTAATTCAAAGGATAAAACACTTCTACTGGAAAGGCTTGGCATTTATGAAATTTTGTAAAGATTAAAATATTTTTAAAAAAAAAAAACTAGAAGATCAATATTAACCAGATTTAAAGAACATTTAGCCAGATAAGATATGGTAGACCGGATAAATCTTGCGTTGTCGAACATATTGTTGATAAAGAACATTGTATAGATCTTAATAACTTTGAAATTAATTAAAACAAGTCTCAAATTACAGACAACTAGATGCATATGAAAGCATCAGAATTAATATAAATTTATAGTATGAACAGAGACAACGGTCCAACTCCTTCAAGTTCTTTGTTCCTACTACCCTAGTGGCGGAAATCTGTTACGCCTGGTTGGCTAGATCTTACCACGCCCACTCGATGCCCACTGAGCGAGTATATATAAACGCTCTAATTAGATTGTATTTTAGTTTATAATCATCTGTTGATGATGCTAACATGGTTAGCGAAACGCGCGTCCAGTGTAAAAGTAAAAGTATTTTGGTGTATTGTGGTGATTTAGTGTTTTATTTTGCTGTAACACCAAAGATTCCAACCCTCAACTGTAAACGCTATAGAAAAAAATATTGTTTCCGTGTATTCATACTTGAGAGAGGGAATCGACATCATGAGCCCTCATGCTTGACAGTCCTGTTTGACCTTTCAATTGACATATTTGAATTTGATATGAAATTGTGCACAGTTGTTGATTTATTATTTATTTATTTCACAGTTTGTTTTGCTCAGAGGTAATAAATGTAGAAGGCTATTGTGTCAGAACTTAAATAAATATAAATAAATAAATAAATGCCTTTATTGTCAAAAAATTTTTCAATTTGTAGACAAAGGTAAACTAACAAAGTAAAAAAACAAGGTACACAAACAAACAAAAGATAATACAAAACATTATACAAATAATATTGTCAGTCTTTTCGTTTAAAATAAACATTTATAAATGTTTACAATGTCAAAGAACAAAAAATAAAAATAATATTCAAAAATACTTAGTTAGTTTTATATAAAATATCAATTTTTTTTTTATAAATAAATTTTATTTCGATGTTATTAGTAGGATAATTAATAGGAAACATTAGACCAGTGTTTGTAAGATCAAATTCGATTTCAAAATATACCCATTTACGGCGTAGAAAGCCCTGTCTAGTAAATAAGAGTTCAATGCTTGCGAAATGAAAAAAATGATGTTATGGATTTGATTTCAAATGGCAGGTGATTGTGCATTTTTTTCGAGTTGTATAATATTGAACTTTAACTAACTCTGAGCGTGGGTAGGTAGATAAAGATCTTGCTCCGCGTTTCTTGAGTGGATAAGTGTGAGATTTTCTCTTGAGAAGCTGATACATGTTTACATATTAGGCAAAACGGATTCAAATATAAATATGGAAGGAAGAGATATTTTAATTCTTTTAAAGTCCTGGCAATGAGTTCTGCTGTTTAGTCCCAGTGAATATCGAAATGCAGCTCTCTTCTGGAGCTTGCTTGAAAATGCGGTCAATTGAGTCGCACAACACAAACCCCAGAATGGAAGGGCAAACCTGAGGTGCGACTCAAAAAGTGCATAATAAAACAGTTCTAGCTAAGTTGATAAGTTAAGTTCTTAGAAACAGACCTTAATGCAAAACAGGCAGAGCTCAATTTTTCGACAAAGCTTCGATATGTATGTCCCATTTCAGAGAATTGTCCACAACAAGCCCTAAGAATTTTGCAGATTTTACGACGTCAATGGTGGTGTTGTTAGTACAAAAGGCTGCAACGAGTTTTTATACGACGAAGCTTTTAGTTTTAGAAATGTTAGGACTAAGGAGGTCTGAATCGCACCAAGATTTAATGGTGATTAAGTCATTTGATATAATCCTATGCCGTGATGTCCTTGTTGCTCCAAGTGAAGTTAGTGTCGTCCGCAAAACGACATATTTTGCCACTGATGTTTATGTTGGCAATGTCGTTAATAAAAAGAAGAAACAAAAATAGGGCCTAGTACTGATCCCTGAGGGACACCACATTCTATTGGCTTCCTAGAAGACAACGTGGTATCCACCCTCACAAGTTGACTTCTGTTGCTCAGATACGACTTAAACCATTCGAGAGATAATCCCCTGAACCCATAGTGCTGCAGTTTATTAATTAGGATCTTATGATTTACACAATCGAAAAACTTAAGAATCCATTTCACTAATCGTTACTAGTCGTTCAAAAGTAGCAAAATAAGCGTTCGGCATTTAACGTTTTATGTAAAACTGGTTAGGCATTTTTACACAAATAAAGCAGGAAATGAAAGATAAAGAATTATACTATATCCGTATTGTAGCACCTTTTTAGACAACTTCTTTATTTTTAAGATTTTGATGGTCCAACATCAACAAAATATTAAAAATAAAAAAAAAAAAAATTTTCTCGAAAATAAAGACATAATTTAAAATTCCGTTACAATACGGAAATAGATTGAAGTTTTGTGATTCCAATGATATATAATTTATACGGTTTTGTAACAAATTGCTCGCTACTTTATGGCAAATGCTGAAGCTCTGCAAACCTTAATCAAGCCTTAATCAAAGCACGTGTGTTTGAAATTTTGGACGTGGCGTAACACGACAGGGTGGGCTAAGCCTTAGGCAGATTTATGAAATATAATATTATCTTTGTCAAAGATAGCGAGAAATAAGTCAAATCATTTTAATATTTTTTTAATGATATTATTTGTTATTATTACATTTACTGAATCTTGGACGTGCTATTTTTCCATGCATCTCTTCAGTCACAATAAAGTCACCCAATTTTCCAATAGTCTGATTGTATTCGCTGTCGGCAGTCTTCACTTGCAAAATTTCGTTAATTTTCTCTAAAAAAATATAAACAGTAATTATGTCTTATACACGGTGTCCCAATTCTATCACATATTCATGGAAATAAAATATGGCGATGTAATTTACATTACTTTAGAAGCAATAAGAGTTCTGATTAATGCATTTCTTCGATCGTATGGTACATTAGGTGTAGGTACATAAAAATGAATGCAATCAGGGTTTAATCTACTTTAAAAATACATATACAAGGATGTAACCAGTGGCGGCTCGTGGTCATTATTGTAGGGAGGTCAATATCTAAAAATATTGCGTCGATTTTTTTAAGACGCGCCCAAATTTTATTGGTTTCTTACAAGGTACTTGTACGTTTCTCTCTCTCTCTCTCTGTATTTATTCGTACAAGAGGAATGTAGTGGTCAGGTGATGTGTGAGGTTTGTCTCCATAATTCCCTGTCTTGTGCTTCATGTACAAGCGTGTGCAGTGGCTTGTGGGTGATCTTTGATAGCTGGTCTATCCATCGGGAGGGCGAGCGGCCTCTTGGTCTCTCTCTCCGGAACCTTTTGCCCTGTATAATAATGAAGCCCATACGCCGCATCCCCCCTCATAACGTGACCGAAATATTCAAGCATACGTGACTGTATAGAAATTGAGAGGCGTTCTATAATGTTCATTTCTTGGATTATGGATTCATTGGTTCGCCGGACAGTCCAGGGAATTCTGAGCATTCGTCGCCAACAGTACATCCAGTTGCGTCAATTTTTTTCATTTCTGACTGTCTCATCGTCCAGGACTCGGAGCCATACATTAATATAGGAAATATGGGCAGTGAACAAGCCTTTTTAAGTGTTTAGATATGTTTTGTCTCGCCATATCTTTGAGAGCTTTCGCACTGCCACTCTTGTCATTTCACATCTTCTTCTTATTTCCCCTTTAACGATCCCGTGTTGTTTATAAGTGACCCAAGATGTATATACTGACTTACAACCTCAAAACAACGACCAATGCTCACTATATCAGGTTTGTTGTTGTTTTGCCTGTCGATAATCATCATTTTTGTTTTAGAGGGATTAATTTCAAGTCCAAGTTTCTCGTTTTCGTCTTCAACCAATTCTAGAAGCTGCAGTAACTCTTCTACGTTTCCTGCTAGAAGGACCGTATCGTCTGCAAATCTGAGGTTGGTAACTTTGTGACCATTAATTGTTGTCCCCCTTGCCAATGTTCCAATGCCCGTCTCAAGCGATATAGTCTAGTAATATATATATATTGAATAACTGAGGAGACAGTATGCACCTCTGCCTAACACCACAGGTAGGCTGGAAGTCTTCCGAAGATGCCATTGATGGTAATTCTACATTTGGTATTTACATAGAGATTCTGGATCAATGAAATCAAACGAAGAGGCACGCCCATTTCTTTAAGAACCATCCATAGTTTTGACCATTTGACTTCGTCAAAAGCTTTTCGATAGTCTATGAAAGAAATATAGAGCGCATTGTTAAATTCTCGGGCCTTTTCGATAATCTGACGGATATTCAAAATTTGTTCACGTATTCCTCGACCTCTTGTGAATCCTGCTTGCTCTGGAGGGATTTATGGTTGAATATACGGTTTTAACCTTTCGTTAATGATATGAAGAAGAATCTTACTGGTATGTGAAATTAGCGCAATTGTACGAAAGTTGTCGCATTTGGTTGGAGATCCTTTATTATGGATGGTTATTATGGAATAATCGGTCCAATCTGATGGCCATTGGTGAGTATGCTATATCATATTACATAACTTGCGCAAGATGTCCACACCAAAATCTCCTGACGCTTGGAGCATTTCGACCGTGATCTGGTCCCAAAGCTTTTGCTATTGCGTTTTAGGGTTTTATTGCTGCTTCAATTTCCGATTTCAGTATGTCTGGTTCTTCATTAATTATATCACTGTAGAAAGAGCAACTAGGCTGAGGATCTTTTTCTTTATACAGTGTTCCGCAGTATGTTTGCCATCGTTCCACTATTTCGTTAATTTCTGGTTTTAAGTTGTCCCTCGTTCGTCTCTCTATTGCCCATGTTTTGGCTCTGAATTTCTCAGGAGGTAATTTTATCTCTTTTAAATAGGTCCTCTGGTTGGATTTTGTGGAAAGCATGAGATTTCCTATATTTTTCATAGTAGTTGTTCTTGTCGATGGTGCAACACTGTGTTTGATCTCGTATTTATTTCTTCTATATTTATCTTTTCATCTTGTGTTTCTATACCAGTTTGCACCCAATGTCTGTCTCTTGTTCAATTTTTAGCAATGTGCTGTCAGAAATCCAATGTTTGTTTTTTTGTCTTTTGTTTAGTTGTCGAGAAGTGGCATTACTCAGACAATTTTTAAGGTCTATCCAAATCTGTTGGGGTTGGGTGTTCTCGTTAACTTGTACGTTTAGTTAAAGAAAAATAAATCTAAAAATAGATACAAATTATGTTAAAATGAAACCTACCCTTACATTTTTAAACCTGTGGTCTAGTGTCATTTCACTAAAAATCCAGTCAATGTTCTTTACACAAATTTTCCACGGTAGGATTTAAAATACATATAAATAATAATGTCAAAAAAATATAAATACATATATACACATAGACATTTCTAAAAGTTTTATTTCATATTTTTTTTATATTTTAAGTCAATGCGGCGTTTTTTCTCTAAACGTTTTTCGAAATTTAAAACAATTGTTTTAAACAAAATCAATTTTAAAAAAAAAAAAAATATATTCATTTTAAAATATCTATTCCAGAATCAGTGAACCACAGTTCATCACCTCTATTCATAACCAGAAAATTAAGTGAATTATTACCTACACAAATTTAACGCTACACCTCAAACTAGATGAGATTTCTTTCGCTATTAAAAATTTTAATATTGCTTTATATTGACTAAAACCAAACATTATACGCGATAAACGATACAAAAACCTAGGTTGTTTTAAAATTTGAGTTTTTATAAACACTCAAACTGCCCAAACGGCGAAACTTTTCCAACGACTGAAATCCTTTTATGAATAACGCGGTCAATGGCCAATATAAACTATATCTATCGCACCTTAACCCGTTATATTTTCTATATATGTAGTATACCTTACCTTGTTGGTGTTACGAGCCGCGGCATTTAGAGTTTAATACGTGCAAAACATAGCGGGAATGAAGGGCAAAATGAAATTTTGACCGGCACACAGTGGGCAAAAATCCAGAAGTATGTTGCAAAAATTCTTTTTTGTACGATTTCATTCAAATTTGGTAAAAACATTCTATGCCAGTAGCCCGTGAACCCACTTAGTTTTGGCTGACTTGAGAGTGGTTGGGGGGATTCATAAAATGGGAAAAATCATCTTTTGACTAATACAACTACCAAAATGCGGTAAGAATATTTTATATTTCACTAAATTTTACGATTTTTGGCAGAGCCAAGATTAAACAGCCAAATATTGAACAATTATTACTCCTCCGGCATATACAGGGTTTGTTATATATATTGACAACCTCTGTATCTTTTTTATTCGACGTTTTCGAAAAAAGTTTCTTGAATAAAAGTTTAATGGTCTCGAATACACTTTTCAAAAAAGTCTCTCTTGCATACCGGGTGCCTTAGGAATCCTGTGTGGCCCAACTTTCTTTATTTCAAATTAGTATCCATAATTTTTTATTTGATTTTTATTTTCTCCTAAAAATCCTAACTACTTTTATGTAGCATAGCCTACACCTAATTTGAAATAAGATAGTTGAACCACGCCCAGACTTTTTGAAGCACTTTGTATATGCGTAATAGACTTTTTTCGCAAATTTATTCAAAACCACTTTCATTTGAGACAGTTTTTTAAATGAATTATTGTTAAATTGCTATAATAGCTAGGAATACCTAAAGTTTTCGCGGAGTGATATTACTCGTGCATCACAATATGGTGACCAGTAAAACTCATAAGAATCCTCTACATGATGCCATGCGTAATGTCACAATGAGATAACAGGTATCCATAAATTAAATAAAATACCCCGTATATGATATATTTAAATAGCATTTTCCCTTCTGATTTTGAAATGCCTACTTTGCTAATTACTAATATTTCCCAAAAAAGCTTACCTACTATTTACTGATATTTTGTTTTATAACAGCTGGAAGCAATGGTCACGAAGTGCACATTTTTAAATCTGAAAGAAAATACCATTTCATTTAATTTAAAAAATTAGGTACTGTCAAAATTTGTCAATTTGTCAAAAAATGTCATTTGACATTTATGACATACCTCTTCGGAAATCTTGAGAAAAAGTACGTAGCTTTATATTTCAAGTTCTTCTCTAGCTACTATAACAATTAATTTATGAGAAGTATCCACATAAAGGATCTTACTAAATAAGCTTGCTCCAATAAATTTAATGTTGCGATTTTTTGCGATTTTTTTGACTTAACTTTTCTAAGATAGAATATATGCCACTATCAAAAAAACCTTAAATGATTATGTTCTACTTTGACCTTTACCTAGTTTTATCCAAAAAATCGAAATAAAAGATACTTTTTTACTTACCTTAACATTAAATTTACCGCAACCGGGAATCTACGTAAAACACGTTATGACAATTTCACAAAATTATTGACAGCAAGCTAAGGTCGTCCGATTCAATTGTTATAATACTGTGTCACTTGAATGCAACGCCTACTATTTAAAAAATTGTAGAAAAAAAGGCAGTTATTGGACACAAATTAACTGAAAATGTAGGTTTTGCGCAAAGTTCGTTTTACAGCCCCTCGAAAGAGACTCCGAATATGCTTTTTTTGTTAGTTTTATGTGGTTTTCTCTTAACTAATATGTTTCCAATCTAATGTTATTGCCATAAATGCTAACTGTGGATGTTATATTTTTTGCAACTTGGTTTGGACATATTGCCTACTGTGCGGCAGTAGAGAAAATGGGTAAAATAAAACGTTTTGAAGCGAAAATTGGACAAATTGATGGTTTTTGGGAACAGTATAGACGAAGTATAGAGTATCTTGGGATGAAAAAAAGTTATTTACAAAAAGTATAATTTAAATAGGTTTTTCCTAATTTTCTTCTGATTTTTTTGGGGGAGCATTGACCATTTGCCCTTATGGTTAAGCCGCCACTGGATGTAACTGTATCTATTAATTTTAAATAATTAATATAAATGTGTTACCATTTTGACCCAAGTTATCTGACTTTTTAATCATGTGGGTAGGTTCCATGGCATTTTCATTCAGAAGTATGGGATTTCTAAAATCGTATTTCTGAGTGGTCAGGGGAATTTCCCAGCCTTCCGGCAAAGTATAATCTTTTTTATTAGTGTCCAACAACTTTCTTCTTATATCAGATTCTTGACAGCAAAAATAAAATAGAAATTGGTCAACAATCTTTATATTTTTTTCTATTTCATGTTAAATGACCAAAAGTGTATGAAAAATATACCTATATCACAATACTCTACTTGATATACAGATTTTCCCTTTAATAAGTTGTCTCCTTTGACTATAATATGATCAACAGGCGTTTCAAAGTACATTTTTCCAATTTTTGGCTTTTCTTTTTTCACCTGAAAAGATATCGATGGTAGTTCTGAATCTAATTTATAATCTTAGCAAAGATATACAGGGTGTCCCAGGCTGAGCGTGCGTTAAAAGTTTCTACAGACCTACAATACCTAGATCGGAGATTTTTTATATATCGTTGTTTCACAATGAGATCTAGCAATTAAAAATGTTTTCAATATGGCGGCGCTTCCGGATATACCGGAAGTTTGACAGCAACTTTCTTATTTTATATGGGTACCCCCATTTTTTATTACATACCTAAATGCTTTGTAAAATTTTATGAATTTTGATATCAAACACTCTATATCTAACATTAACCGTTTTTGAGAATAAAAAATTAAAATTTTCGAAGGGCAAAACTGCCTTTCAAAAAAATTGTACAGCTTAAACGTCAAATTTGGTGATATATCCAGGAAGTGCCGCCATATTGAAACTATTTTTAATCGATAGATCTCGTTGTAAAACGATGATGTGCAAAAATCTCCGATCTAGATATTGTTGTTTTCTAGAAAACTTCTAATGCACGCTCAGCCTGGGACACCCTGTAGAAGTATGGAGAATGAGCATGAACGTAAAAGGCGACATGAGTCAAAAAAGACGATGCTCAGAAGACATATGGTTCTGATCGAAAAATAATGTTTTAGGAAAAATTACTCAGGAAATTATTGCACAGGGTATTTTAATGTTAAGGAAAAATTACAATGTACCGGTTGAACCGCATGCACTGGGCATGTGCAAATGTATATTTCTTTTCTTTTCGCTGTTTAAAGTTTACAAATAAAAATTATCGAAAGTACGAAGTATTCCATTCCAAACATGCCGGCTACCATGGCATAAGAAGATTTTTGGATGCGTACTCCTCGAAGCTCATTCTCCTTACCTCTGAATTTAGTCATTAAAAATTACTTTTTCTAAATAATCATCGCAAGCCTCTCTAGGCGGTTCAATATTATCACCATCTAATTCTAGGTAGTTTTTAAACCCTTCGCAGACTGGATCATCAAATTCTTGCTTTGTAATATATTTAGCTCTGTCGTGAATTTCGATTTTCTTTGGAATATAGTCTTTGTTATATACTGTCAGATACGAGTTTAATATGATCCTTTTCTCTTCCTCAGGATCCATGTTTCTTATTTCAAATTTTTGCTAAATGTCTTAATGACAAAATAAATTTAAGCAATTTAAAGAATTTCAGAGAGATTTGGCATCTAAGTGTTACATCCGGCAATAGTGTTACGAATTTAAGGCCTATTCACACTGACAATAGTATTCTGAGCCGAAAACATTCTTAGATCAAATTAAAACCTTATCCCTGTCTTTATTTATTCTTTTAACGAAGTAAAAAATACCGTCACAGCAAATTCTATTAAAACTAATAGTGATAAATAGTTAAATTAATTGTACTTACTTAAAAAACTCATTTACTTGATACACACGACGCTACTGGTTTATTGGAATTGTTTTTAGGTTGCATAATATCTTATTTTCCTTTGTCCGAAATGTCACTGTCAGATGTTCTATTTGTCAATTAAATTTTGTAAATAAATGATATGAATATTTAAGAACAAAAATTCAACGTTTTGAATTGATAGCAGCTAGAATTTCTAGTTTTACCAACAAATAAAAATAATGGGATGTTGTTGGAGTTTGTTTTGCAAAGATGATAGTTCTTCACAGGTAAAACGACAGAGAATGACGATATTTTTGTTTTTCAATTTTAAGATTCATATTTTCACTTAGAATGGAGAACCAAACGAAAGAACACACTTGCTAATAGACCCTGTATCAAATAACACAAATATTCAAAGGGTTAGCAGGTATATTACTCTATATATTGAGAATCCTTGCCACATTTTATCATGTTTCTTTTTTAGCGAAGATATATTAAGTAGAAATTCAAATACCTTACCGAAAAAGACTGATGAACAATCGGCATTGAGTAGAATACTACAAGAAACAGCTACGTACGTTTTTATTAAACAAAAGTCACATTTTTATCTGACATATTCGCTTTTACAGCAATGTTATAGATGTAGCTGCCTTGGATTCCCACAATCTACAGCAACACGAATATTCAGAACGGGTTAAAATGTACAACACAAGGGTCCAGCAAGTTCTAACAACTAACAGGAATGTGTTAACAAATAAACTGAAATCTTGTTTACTGCAAGATGTCCCTCAACCTGAAAAAGTCCTAGGTGCCGATTTGATAAGCAAGGATGACATTAGTTTAGTAAGTTATGGTGTTTGAATCAAAGAATTTAGTTTTAAACTGATATTTTAATATGTTTTAGATATCAAATTCTATAACTGCAGCGTTGAATGCAATAAATGATATCAAAGTGGATCATAAAGAAGACTTAGTGGTCCCGTTTGGACTAGATTGCTAATTTCTTTTAATATATAATTATATAAAAATAAGATGAAATATTATGTGTATAAGTTTTGTTATAATTTATTAATTTTAAATTTTATTTAAATTAAATATTTGCTATTTATTGTGTTAATAAATATTTTGAGTTACCACCTTTATTTCTGTTTTTGAAAAATATTTCATCTTATTACTGTATATATTTAATGATATTATAGATTTTTAAGATATGAAAAGAAAATATTTTTTACATTATATGTATTTTGTTCTGTATAAAAAAAAACAAACATTAAATGTCTTTGATTTTTAAAGTCGTATAGTATATTGCACACAAATATTTTTTGAAGTTATATATAGAGATTTTTGCTTGTAAAATGGAACATACATAATTAGAAATAAAAATTGTGATAATATTGTGTCTACTTTTTATAATAAAATCAAATGTTACAGTATAAGTATGCCTGTTTAATATTTATAATGATTAAAAATATATAGGGGGGCCCAGGGCCGGCGGAAGGGCCTATGCGAGGGGCGCCACGACAGCAACTAAAATATTTAAAAACAGTAATTTAAACAAATAGTATCGAATATCCAGTTCAATAATTAATCAGTACTGTCAATTTCCACATTAAAATATTAGCTATTACCACACCACATAGGGAAAGAATATCTTACTAAACATTATAAACACTATGCTATATGCTAGATGGTATCCTATTATAGTTTACTGAAATTATGCCCAAAAAATCCTTAGCATGAAAGCTTTGGAGTAATTTTGATTTCTTCAATTCTATATGTTTTTTGAGTGCTCTATCCGAAACTGGGATTTGCGAATTCATTTTCGTGGGAGAATTTTAAACAAAATAATATAAAAAACTATAAATCTGATTTGTTCGTGGTATTTTATTTATAACTCAAAAGCTAACAACTTTTCGTAAATAACCCTTCTTTCTATAATAATTCTCGTTTTTATAAATTTCTAAACAAACTGTATTGGGTCAAGAGCTAGCAAAATTAACAGTTTTAGACTGACCGCTCAAAATCGCAATTTTTCTACTATCCACACCCTTTATTTGTTATTAATGGAATGGCTGATATGCTCTAAAATTATATGAGGCAAATATTCATTCGCAAGAAGCTGAAGAGTATCCCGATATCCTTATTATAAAAAAAGAGCTTATAAGTTTGCCTCATTAATTAAATTAATTTATTAATAGTAGTGGGAAAGATATCAATTTTTTGGTGGTTTTGATTGTTCCGGCTTGAATATATAGTAATATACTGAAAATGGGAGCAGAATCATAGAATTTTCTCATTAGAGGAATCACACAAAGAAAAATTTCTCACAAAGAAATGCATCTCAAACACTGGCTCATTTTGAAGCCGAGAAAACTGTCTGATCATAATACTGATTTTGGACTAAATATGTAATTGTTTGTGAAAAAGAAGAAATTTTTCTTAAATTCTTATAAGAAAATAATGCAACTGCTTGCAATTAAACATTAATGTTTTCAAATATCACTTATAGCAGAACGAGACTGCCGAAGTTGGAATTCTATTTCTTATAGCTCTACGAGTATATACCGTGTGCGTCTCAAAAGTTTCCTCCCCCTATAATTTGTTTATTTTTTCGGATGAATAAACGAGATTTGGTATGTTAGTATACGACATAAATTAGGATTAATCTCGGGATTAATTCACGTATTCAATTGTTTTTGGTCACTTCCTATTTCACCGGAAATTACTACAACTTTTGATTTTTAAATGGCACCCTCGGTATATTTCTACTTTATGCGATAGAAAATGACACTCCGAATAGGATGACATATCATATGTCAACTTTTGACATTTTTGCATATGGTTTATTTGAAATTGTAACACATTGTAACATGCGGTTCATAACGGCGAACAATTTGTAACAATTTGACTCGAAATACCAAGTGTGTTGTATGAAATCATTCGTAAAAAAATGCTTTTTCCAAATATGCTAATGAGCCACCCTTGTTCCATTTGAAAAAATTGAGATATGATTAAAAGTACGATTTAAGCATCTTTAAACCGGCCGGGACAAGACACGAAAAACATTAGACGATCTAATTTATTTTTCCAAGGCTCCTTATTGAAACTAATAAATTAGTGTGTTTAACACAGTCATGGCACTATAGATTAAAATTTAAAATACGTTTTTAAGCAAAAATGTCAAAAGTTGACATATGATATGCCACTGTACTCAGAATTATGCTCAGAATGTCATTTTCTTTTGGAATAAAGTAGAAATATAACGAGGGTGCAATTTAAAAATCAAAAGTTTTAGTCATTTCCGGTGAAACAGGAAGTGACTAAAAACAATTGAATACGTCAATCAAGCCTAAAATATGTCATATAATAACATACCAAAACTCGTTTTTTTATCTAAACCCGGTGTAGAAAAGATAACAACCGCAGAAGATTGAACGAAGAGAAGAATTTTGTTAGTTGAAGTGAAAATTTATTGTTAAATTAGCATAAATATGCTTAGTTGTTGTTAAAGTATAGGATTGAAGGGAGAAGAGAGTTATAATAACTATTTAGGGGGTGGGGGGGGGGGCGCCAGATAGGGTACTCGCCCGTTCTCAATATTTTCCTTCCGCCGGCCCTGGGGGGGCCCATTAATGTTAGAAGTCCAATATTGTCGATATTGAAGATATGAAAAATGATCTATACAAATCTTGCATGGTTTATAAAGGTGCATATATTATAAATATGTTGCTGTATACAGGGTATTTTTTGAAACTGGTTAAAAATACGATACCGGGTGCGTCTCAAAAGTGGCTCACCCCCTATAACTTTTTTATTTTTTCAGATAAAACAACGATATTTGGTATGTTAGTATATGACATAAATTGGGATTGATTGACGTATTCAATTGTTTTCGGTCACTTCCGGTTTCATCGGAAATGACTACAACTTTTGGTTTTTAAATGGCACCCTCGGTATTTTTTTACTTTATACGATAGAAAATGACACTCTGAATCGAATGACATATAGTATGTCAATTTTTGACATAGTTACTCAAAAACAAATTCTCTTTTAAATTTCAATCTACAGTGCCATAGCTGTGTTAAAAACAGTCATTTTTAATCAAGGAGCCTTGGAAAAATAGATTGGATCGTCTAATGTTTTTAGTGTCTTGTCCTGGCCAGTTAAAAGATGCTTAAATTGTATTTTTAATAATATCTCAATTTTCTCAAATGGAACGAGGGTGGCTCACTAGCATATTTGGAAAAAGCATTTTTTTAGGAATAATTTGATACCACACACTTGTTATTTTGAGTCAAATTGTCGTTATGAACCGTATGTTACAAAAATAAACCATATGCCAAAATGTCAAAAGTTGACATATGATATGTCATTCGATTCAGAGTGTCATTTTCTATCGAATAAAGTAAATACCGAGGGTGCCATTTAAAAATCAAAAGTTGTAGTCATTTTCGGTGACCGAAAACAATTAAATACGTCAATCAATCCCAATTTATGTCATATACTAACATACCGAATATCGTTGTTTTATCTGAAAAATTAAAAAAGTTTCAGGGGTGCCACTTTTGAGACGCACCCGGTATCTGAAAAGTGGTTAAAATCTGGAGTGACTAGTGACTTATCTATATTTTCCTAAACATCAAGGATAACAGAGTAAATCCATGAACGAAAGCTCATATTGTCTGATACAGGGTATTTTTTATAGCGTCGACAACATAGCAATATTTAAAATGCTATATCTCAGTTTTTTAATCCAACATTCTCTATATTATTTTTCATTTAGATGCAGAATTAAAAAATGAACATTTTTTTATTTAAAGTGTCCCTAAATTTTTAACGGTTTCACAGATATTCGCGGTGTTTATATATTATGTATGAGTCTTTATAATAAAAACAAATGTTCCATAAATGTATGCCTGTTAATATTCATAACGATTAAACAGGTATGTACAACAATGAATACTAATTAGTAAAATTATAAATACAGGAAGATTATCAAATACTTTCGGAAACTTCACCTTAAATACACTTTATAGATATCACAAAATTAAAATAACAAAAATAATTTAACTTGCATCTGTGGCATTCGTTTTACTTTGTTCCACAACCTTTTTCACTGCCTCCTGAATGGCTGGTACGGGTACGGTGTTTGGTACGTGAAAAAAGTACAGCATAAACCCTGCAGCTAATAAAGCGTGGCATACCATAATTCCGATAGCCAGGAAAAATTTATGTTTTGATAAACGCAGAGCAGGCATCAGAGTCAGTAACAGCACAGAACCAGATACAAATGCTGCTATAATCACTAACAGCCATTGTAACAAATTTATTTGAATAGACCACAGTACGGCAGCTGGAATATAGATAAATAGCGAATAACCATAGATACAGATGAGTTCTAAAGCCCCTGGTGTTACATTATCTTGGTCGAGGTCTTCAACATCTCCTGCTTGAGTTGAGTACCTTAACAAGCCCCATAACGTAAAAGGGATTAAGGTAATGTACAGACAAATCGTGGTTGCAGCATAGGAAACAAGATGAAAGTCGTATTTCCAGTGATATGAAGGACTGGCATGTTGTAAGTAACTAGCAATGTTTCCACTGATTGCTATGGTGAAAATTAGAGTTATACTAATCCAAAAAGGTCCGTAAAGATCTGGCTTTGTTCTTAAATGGTGTTTCAAAGAATTATCCCACTTAGGGGTTATTGAAGCTATGATACGTTCAACCACATCTTTGGTGTCAACATCGAAATATTTCTGGTAGTATTCTATGGTCCAAAATGATTTTGAAGCTGGAGTTTCTAAAATATGACGTGTTAGAACTTAGCTATTTGTATTTTGTATATAGATAAGTTTTTTACCTTCATCTTCAGGAGACCCTAAATTTGGTAATGAACTGGGGTTGTTTGGATTTCCCGGCGGTGGCATGTTATTCGTTGAACTCGGAGGATTGGATTTTAAGTTTCCTGACACGTCGATCTGCGTTACTGGTACTGATATCGTACTATTCCCACCAGCAGTGTGTACTGGCACTGTCGGATAATCTTGAAACGACAATAAATCATCTGTAGGTACTTCTTGCAGGTTTGTCATTGTTCCTATAAATTATTTCAGAGACAAGAATACGATATTTTGATTAAAAACGCGAGTTTAATAGGTAGTTTGTAATATTTTTCATTAAAAAAACACCTTGTTTTGATTTTTATCGCAAAATCTAAATTGTCACTGTCAAATTTTCTGTCAATCGTCAAGGACCACCTGCTCAGAGATATAGAGGTATGTTCGCGGTTAGGTCAGAACTCTCTTTCCTTGTCTAAGGGTCAGAAAGTATAGGTGATTATACGTTTTCTTGGCGATCATCTTTAGTTAATCTTAAAAATATCAAATATATCTCTTATATATCTTAATAATAATTATACTTCTATATTTATATAACATAATACATAATTACAAATGAGTAATGATCTTTTTATTAAGACGAGAAAACAGAAAATACTGTAAATAGTTAGTAAAACAGGTAAAACTACTCTCAACAATCATTAAAGTCAATTTTTATCATACTTCAGCGCACTAGGTATGTACAAATCTATATTTCTTATTTTATTTCGCTGTTTGAAAGTGTAAAAATAAAAATATCTTAGTATTCTAGTTTATTTTTCTGTTTGAAACCCACCATTATTCCTAAAATTTTAGAGTACTCTGAGTTAACTACTCTGAACTATAACTACTATAATTACTTTTTGATCTCTGCTGTAGACCAGGAAGTTTTTTGGGACTCTCTACATATCTCTATATCTCGGCACCTGCTGACTCCTAACTTAAGGTAGGTTCACATGAAGAATTAATTGACGCAAGGAAGAAAGCCTTTAAAATATTTTTTAATTTTAATTTTTTTAACATAATTGTGAGCTTTTGTCGATGGTTCTACGGTCATAGGCAGACATTAATATTCTGTAGGCCACTTTTCCATGATCATCTTGATACACTGATCGTGTTGTCCTTAGTCTGGAAGGTCTGAGATATCCAAAAACTATAAAAATAAATATAAGGACATTATTTCAAAATTAATTTGCGATTTGTTTCAAGATACACACCGTTTCTAGAGGTATACAAAGGTGGAATAATTTTCTGATTGTTTGGCCCGTACAAATTGTTGCAGTATTCCAAAAGTTCATTCTCGAAATCTTCATCTTTTACATTTTCAATTTTTGCCTGACTAGCTGATGCGTTGGGAAGTGAAAGGGTGGTTTCTAAAAGAATAATAAATAAATTGTTATGTTTCCCTCTACAGGGTGTTTCGAAAAACATGTGCCATATCTCGTGCGGAGATCCCTCACGTAAAAATTAAATTTATAAGTTCCAAACACACATGTTTTGATTAAGACTTGATTAGGGTTTGCAGAGCTTCAGAATTTCCCATAAAATAGAATCCAATTTGTTACAAAACCATATAAATTATATCACTGTAATCACAAAACTTCAATCTATTTCCGTATTGTAACGGAATTTTAAATTATGTCTTTATTTTCGAGAAAATTTAGTCCAAACGTAAGGAATTTTTAGTTGATGTTTGACCATCAAAATCTTAAAAATAGACGTATATATTATAATCCTTTATCTTTAATTTTCTTCTTCATTTGTGTAAATATTTGCACGTCCCTGGTAAATCTGTCGACCATAATTTATAGTACTAAAATATGTGACACTTATGGTAAAGTTTACCCTGAAATTTCATTCAAATCTTTTAAAACACTTGGAAGAAAATAAAAAAAAATAAAAATATAAATAAATCGAAAAAAATTGAAGACATTGAATCTACGAAACAAAGCAGAATCGTACCTATGTTGAAATAAAAAATCAATCTCATTTTTTCGTGAGGTATCTCCTCACGAGAGGTGGCACATGTTTTTTGAAACACCCTTTATATTGTATTCTTAATTCTCACTAATATGTTTTGCTGCTTTCAAAAGATTATCACAATGCGACAATTGATAAGTTGTTTTCATCCGTTTTAAATATAATTTCTCTATAGTTTCTTTGATTTTTGGAAGATTTCGCAACTGAAAATTGTATAAAACGAATAAAACACTCATATATACTTATACAGGGTGTTTCAAAAACATGTGCCATCTCACGTAAAAATAACATTTCTTTTTCATAACAACATAGGGTACGATTCTGTTTTGTTTCGTAGCTTCAGGATGCTAAAGTCTTAATATTTTTTCGATTTATTATAATTTTCTTCCAAGTATATATACCAAATTTTGAGGGTAAAGCCGATTTAATAAAGCAGTTTAATGCCGATTAAAAGTTGTCTTTTGATATTTTGTCGATTTCGGCTGCCTTGATGAGATAAATACAAATTTGTTAATTTGCCTTGATCCAATATATGTCTAATAGAAAACTTTAAACATTTTTAATATCATTAACTTGCGAAAATTTTAAATAAGTACTCAATGATTCCTCATCAAAAAATATGAAAAAAAATTCCTATAAACATGGATATGGAAATGCATAGTTTTAGAGTTACAGGATGTTAAAACTTTTTAAAATTAGTTTTTTTCATATATATATTAACTAAAGAATATCGACTCCAAACTGAATTCTGTGATGCCAAGCCGGTGAAATGGGTATATAAATCTTCTGAAGGAATTTGCTAATCCGTATACAGGGTGTTTCAAAACAAATGCGAAAAACTTCAGGGGGTGATTCTTGTTCAAAATAAAGGGTAGTTTGCTTCATAAACGTTGGGTCAAAAGTCAACCATTAGGGAGATATCGCGATACAAAGATGGCGGAAAAATAATGTTTTTATTTTTATTTGAAAACGAAAGAGATAGACAATGAAATTTTATGGAAGCATTACTGTTATGAAAACACCCCTTTCTGGTAATTTTTCACTTTTTAAAATGAGTGGAGGGGTTGAAATAAACTACCCCTATCATTCTTGTTAACGAAATTTAAAGAAAAAATCTTATCAAACACATGCAAAGAAATTAATTTGGATAGTTTAGTTTGTTTAGAAACTTTTTTATCTCTTGTATTTTTTTGATAAAACTCACCGATTTGAAATTAAAAAATAAAATGTAAAGCATTACATGTCAGGACAAAAAACATTTTCTGATAAAGAATCTAGTGGGCTGCTGTAATTTTTTTAAGAAAACATCTAGTCGCCCGCTGTTACTTTTTAGGATGTTTCTAATATTATTTTATTTGACATTACTCTACCGCAATACGTTATTATCTAGATGATTATTATTATCGTTATTTTCTTTCTAAGATTCTTAATCTAAAAATGTGTTTTTTGACCTGACATGTAAAGATTTACATTTTATTTTTTAATTTCAAATCGGTGAGTTTTATCAAAGAAACACAAGAGATAAAAAAGTTTCTAAACAAACTAAACTATCCAAATTAATTTTTGCATGTGTTTGATAAGATTTTTCTTTAAATTTCGTTAACAAGAATGATAGGGGTAGTTTATTTCAACACCTTCCACTCATTTTAAAAAGTGAAAAATTACCAGAAAGTGTGTTTTCATAACAGTAATGCTTCCATAAAATTTCATTAGTCTATCTCTTTTCGTTTTCAAGATAAAAAATAAAAACATTATTTTTCCGCCATCTTTGTACCGCGATATCTCCCTAATGGTTGACTTTTGACCCAACGTTTATAAAGCAAACTCCCCTTTATTTTGAACAAGGAGTCACTCCCTGAAGTTTTTTGGATTTGTTTTGAAACATCCTGTATATTTCCTAAGTATATGGGTTTTTTGTAATTATCTTAAATACCATTATTTTTTTATTTGAAGTTGCTGTGGGTTGGACTAATAGTAATAAAACCTAATAGGTAATAATATTTAATAATAAATTAGGTAAAATTTATAATTTATTAATTTTACTTTTATTAATTGCGTAATTAATAAAATTGCATTTATCTCATCAAGGAGGTCGAATTCGACAAAATATCAAGAGATAACTTTTAATTGGCATTAAACGGCCTACACAATTTTGATATGAAAGGAAAAAAAGTCAGTGGCGCACCTGTTTTTATTTTAAATATTCTAGTGATAACCCATATACACGTCCCTGATGAATTTATTGACACTTTTTTAGCATTATAATATATTTAGCACTTATAGTAACTTTTACCCACAAAATTTCATTCGAATCGCTAAAAGTACTTGGAAGAAAATTATAATAAATCGAAAAATTTTAAAACTTTAACACCCTGTAGCTACGAAACAAAGCAGAATCGGACCTTTGTTTGAAACGTGAGGAATCTCTCCACGAAAGCTAGCACATGTTTTTTGAAACACCCTGTATTAAGTTCTATTACCTCTTCTTCAATTTCTTTATTAGGGTCTAACTTCCATATATCGCCTTCTGGTTCCAACTTGCTCAAGTCATCTTGACGAATTCTGCAAGAAGTTTTAGATTACTTATTATTGGATTATTAGAAGGTTTTTGGAGATACATACGGTCCTACTCTTGGTTGACAATTCCATCTAAATGTGTCCTTGTGAGTAGTAATAAAAGCTTGAGCCATATTGGACCTTTACTAGCTTGAATTTTGGTTTATAACTTTTAATTTGCATTCAATTTAAAACTGTCATTCTTTATCTGTAAATTATTAGCAAAAATAATGCTTAAAAGTCAAAATTACGTTGTCAAAATGAAGTGGGGTCGGATAGCTATGAAAATCATAAAAATATTTCAGTTCTGGCGGCGAACTTGAATTTTTGGATATGGATAGTACATATACGTAGTAAGTATCAAAAAACGCCCCAGACCCCAAAATTTTGGGACCCCCACCACTGGTATGACGTCATTAACACTTTGACTGCCATGTGTATCTCTCGGTATACACTGGTATACACAATAGCATGTCCCAGTTCGCCACGTGTATATTACTCGTGATAGTTACTTTGAGATACAGGCTTTTCTTCTTCACCTTTAAGATGGATCTCATACACGGCAGATACGTTAACAACTTGATGTACTTTCGTTGAACTTGTTATGAGTTTTTTAATAATAGATTCAAGCTCTGTAATGCTTGTTTTGTGTGAATCTTCATACGATTCTTCGAAACTTTTGGGCCAAATTTTTTGTATATGAACAACCCTAAAAATTGTACCAAAGTTGTTGGTTGACGCTCCTTTAAGAGTCCATATTATAGATAATAAAAAAATCGTATCTTTTGCAATTCCTTTAATAAATATTTTAACTTATAATATAATTACATAAATATCTCTATAATATTTCAGTCAGATAAAATAATGTTACACAGGTATAAATTTGTTATGCTCAGGCTTTTCTCTAACATGAATCAAATAATTCAAACTACTAATTGGTAGAGGAAAGCCACTATCACTTCTTCTATGTTTTTTTGTTCCTTTAAGACCTTTCTGATTCTTCAAAAAGTTTTGTCTAAAACCATTTCTTCTATAACTGTTAGAGTACCAGGATGGTTTAACTCCCAAACCTTGATTCTGGAGTTCGTTCTTCTTGGCATAGTATAAACTTAGATCAGGTTTAATATCTAGAGAATGATGTTTCAGACTACTTAATAAACTTACTGAAGTAGAAGCAGGTACTATAGGAAGATTAATTTTCCCACTATAGCTTGGTGATACGTATGAATTTAGAGGTGTTTTAATTGACCAAGAGCTTTTAGGGATATTGTTTGCTCTCCATTGATTGAAAAAATATGGTTTATAATAAGGATATTTCCCTAAAACTGGTGATGGGATTTCAGTTAAACCATTGTCATAGTTACTTGCCCAAGGCTTGATAGTCTGCCTGTTTCCTCGAATATACTTTGAAGGCACTTTCAAAATTTTTGGCCTTTTGAGGAGCTGAGTAGATTTCCAAGCTTGTGGTAACAATATTTGGTTACTCACAGAATTAAGAGGTATTTTAGTATTTGTTTTTTCAGAAACATAACCATAATTTAACTCATCCTGATGACTCGTAGATGGAAAGTGAACTTGAGATGTTTCAGAATTTTGGACCAACTCATGATAGTTACTTTGAGATACAGACTTTTCTTCTTCACCTTTGAGATGGATCTCATAAACAGCAGGTACTTTAACAACTTGATGTACTTTCGTTGAACTTGTTATGAGTTTTTAATAACAGATTCAAGTTCTGCAGTGCTTGTTTTGTGTGAATCTTCATACGATTCTTCGAAACTTTTGGGCCAAATTTTTTGTATATGAACAACCCTAAAAATTGTACCAAAGTTGTTGGTTGACGCTACTTTAAGAGTCCATATTATAGATAATAAAAAAATCGTATCTTTTGCAATTCCTTTAATAAATATTTTAACTTATAATATAATTACATAAATATCTCTATAATATTTCAGTCAGATAAAATAATGTTACACAGGTATAAATTTTTTATGCTCAGGCTTTTCTCTAACATGAATCAGATAATTCAAATTATTAATTGGTAGAGGAAAGCCACTATCACTTCTTCTATGTTTTTTTGTTCCTTTAAGACCTTTCTGATTCTTCAAAAAGTTTTGTCTAAAACCATTTCTTCTATAACTGTTAGAGTACCAGGATGGTTTAACTCCCAAACCTTGATTCTGGAGTTCGTTCTTCTTGGCATAGTATAAACTTAGATCAGGTTTAATATCTGGAGAATGATGTTTCAGACTACTTAATAAACTTACTGAAGTAGAAGCAGGTACTATAGGAAGATTAATTTTCCCACTATAGCTTGGTGATACGTATGAATTTAGAGGTGTTTTAATTGACCAAGAGCTTTTAGGGATATTGTTTGCTCTCCATTGATTGAAAAAATATGGTTTATAATAAGGATATTTCCCTAAAACTGGTGATGGGATTTCAGTTAAACCATTGTCATAGTTACTTGCCCAAGGCTTGATAGTCTGCCTGTTTCCTCGAATATACTTTGAAGGCACTTTCAAAATTTTTGGCCTTTTGAGGAGCTGAGTAGATTTCCAAGCTTGTGGTAACAATATTTGTGTACTCACAGAATTAAGAGGTATTTTAGTATTTGTTTTTTCAGAAACATAACCATAATTTAACTCATCCTGATGACTCGTTGATGGAAAGTGAACTTGAGATGTTTCAGAATTTTGGACCAACTCATGATAGTTACTTTGAGATGCAGGATTTTCTTCTTCTCCTTTGAGATGGATCTCATAAACAGCAGGTACTTTAACAACTTGATGTAATTTTGTTGAACTTGTTATGAGCTTTTTAATGATAGACTCAAGCTCTGTAATGCTTGGTTTGTGTGAATCTTCATACGATTCTTCGAAACTTTTGGGCCAGATTTTTTGATGCTGGATGTTGCTGCTTCCATGAACTACATCATCAGGTTTGTTTTCACTAGATACAAAGGATTTTTCATGATTAATAGGGGTTGAACTGTAAGAGTTATAATCTACAGGCATCATAACATCATCTGTATTGAAGGATTCTGTATAGTAAGTGTTTTTACTTGTTTGGTATGGAGACTCTGATGTAGTAGTCTCAGGTTGATTCTCGTAAGATGAATCTGATCTGATATTATAATTTTGAGGTATTCCATGCCAGTGACTTGCTGAAGGCAGAGTTTCGTATTGTTCTTGGTCGCTGTAGTAGTGATCATATTGAGAATAATTGTGTGAGTTGTCTTGATACTCGGGGTAGGGTGATTTGGAATCCTGTGATTCTATTCCATAATTGGCACTGACTATAAAACTATTGGATTCATCTGAGTCTGTGTACGAAGTTGTGTCGTTTGAACCATCGACAGTCAATGAACAATGGAAAATCTGCAAAATAATATTTTCTGTAACTTGGTAATATACTACACAAAGCTAAAACGTTACTGCCTAAGCTGTTACCGAATAAGCTTGAAAGCTTGAAAGTATCTAGGGGAGTTACATTATCTAGATAGGAGATTTTTTGTACAATGTCTCATAACTATACTAACTGCAGTACGACCCCCAGTGTCCCAAAAAACGAACTAAATAAATATACTACCATATGATCGAAAAAAAAAACGGCGTCTGCGATGGCTATGAAATAAAGATCGCTGTTATTTTATATGTAAAAATATATGGAGAATGTCATCGATGTTCATTTCTAAGCCAACTGGATGCCATTTTTTTCGATACGGTATATACTGTACATTAAATTTTAATCTTTTTTCAGAGTCCAAAGGACACCATTTTAAATAAGTTTTATGGTTGTAAAACCTGATTGATATTGAGATGAAACGCCTATTTAAAAATAAATATTTCTTTAAATCCATACCATCTGCAAACAACTAAATCTACTACTCTAAATCGACACTCTATATACCGGGTGCGGCTCAAAAGTGGCTTACCCGTATAACTTTTTTATTTTTTTAGATGAAAAAGTTATTTGATTTGATTACGAGATTTGGTATGTTAGTATATGACATAAATCAGGATTGACGTATTCAATTGTTTTTGGTCACTTCCTGTCTCACCGGAAATGACTACAACTTTTGATTTTTAAATGGCACCCTCGGTATTTTTTTTACTTTATTCGAAAGAAAATAACACTCTGAATAGAATGACATATCTTATGTCAACTTTTGACATTTTCGCATATGGTTTATTTGAAATTATAACTTGCGGTTCGTAACGAAAATTTGACTCAAAATAGTGTGTGGTATCAAATTATTCGTAAAAAAATGCTTTTTCCAAATATGCTAATGAGCCATCCTCGTTCCATTTGAAAAAATTGAGATATGATTAAATATACGATTTGTGCATTATCTAACTGGCCAGGACAAGACACTAAAAACATTAGACGATCAAATCTATTTTTCCAAGGCTCCTTGATTAAGACTTTATATTGAATTTTAAAATATAATTTTTTATTAAGCGAGAATGTCAAAAGTTGACATATGATATGTCATTCTATTCAGAATGTCATTTTCTATCGAATAAAGTAAAAAAATACCGAGGGTGCCATTTAAAAATCAAAAGTTGTAGTCATTTCCGGTGAAACAGGAAGTGACCATAAACAATTGAATACGTCAATCAATCCTAATTTATGTCATATACTAACGTACCAAATCTCATTTTATTTATCTGAAAAAATAGAAAAGTTATAGGAGTGAGCCACTTTTGAGACGCACCCGGTATATAGTGATTAAAAAAACGAATTAAGTAAAAAATATGTTTTAAAACTGTTTTATTCTCTTTTTTCAACTGTTCAACCAAACCCTGTATTTTTTGACATAATTGAGCATAAAAAAGATTAATCTAAAAATGGTTATATTTCTGAAACCACTAGATACAGGGTGAGTCTTAAATAAGGGTAAGTAAATAAGAAACATTATTTTCTCTGTACCGTTTCTCCAATAAGTCGAGTATTTTACTTTAAAAATGAAGAGAACCGCTGGATCGTTTCTGCGTTCTTGTAAATTTAATATACTACCTATGTTGCCGTATTATCAAGAAATGATTGGTTTTTATTACAAAATTTAAAAAAAAAATCCAAATTATCATAAAAAATTTCGCGAAAAAAAACACTCATAATCGTGTTCCTGGGATCGTAATATACTACCCCTAAAAATATTTGCACTTAATTAAGACTCACCCTGTATAAACTAAGTTATTATAGCGTTTTTGAAATGGGAATTAATTTATGGCACTTTAGAGTATATGCATAATAATTATAATAATAATATTTTGAATCACCCTGTATACTTATAAATTAAATACCTCCTCCCATACAATCTACATCTACATCTACAATTTTTAATACAAATTCAAGTCTGGGACACTCTGTATTATTAGTATATTAATGCATATCTTTTTTTTTCTTAATGGCCTAAAGAAGTTACTCAAGCGTTTTATTTCCAAGTTTGTAAAAAGTTAAAGACTATAATGCACTAAAACAGATTATTATAGAGAAATCATCGTATTAGCATTAAAAACTGTTTAAAATTAGTTTTAATCTAGAAAATCGAAATGGTTTGTTGGTTTCTTTTGTTTAACTTTAACACAAAGTGTTTAATAGAGATATTTTTAAAAGTACAATCGGTAATAATTGTATATTTTCTCTAAAAATGAATATTACATGAGATGTTCTGCTGTACGTAATTACTAAATTTTTAATTTTTATGCTCTAGTTATAATAGATGCTGGGAATGTTAAATTTCTGAAATAGAACAGATAATGTGATGAATTATGCGATATTTTTAACAGTTTACATTTTTATTAAAAAATAACTAAGAAAATAATGAAACACAATATTGTTTATTTTATTAGATACAAAACACTTATTGAATTAATGGATTTTTGGGGTTAAAGCTTTATTTTAATTTTTTAAAAAACAAACTTGTGGTTTAATTTTTATTATTAAAACGAGCCAAGATCCCTCAAGAAATTATTATCGTTGATCTTTTATACGTAAAATTATATGGTGAATTTCGTCGATCCTCATTTCTCAAGTAGCTCGACGCCGTTTTTTTTCGATCAAATAGTTTTCAAATATATAATTTTATTTGAATTTTTTTATAACAATACCTCTATTGTATACTTTGATTTGTATTATAAGTAAAAAAGAAACTATTTGATTCCTACCAATATTTCCTAGTTTCAATAGAACAATTATACAGGGTGTAACCTCATTCGACACGGAGTATTTTATCCAAACGAATGGATTTTTAGAAATTGTGAGCAATCGAATCGTTGGAGGACTATTAAAACTACAATTTAAAATTATTTTCAAAAGGTACAGAGTGTCCCAAATAAAGAAAAAATATCAAAGTTGTGTTTTTTTAAATGGAACACCCTGTATATTATTACATTTTTAATCGTTTCCACGATTAAAATAAAGGTAAATTTGATTAAGGTTTACTGCACTTTAATCTTACCGTTTTTGAAAAATGAAACAAAATTTGAAAACATGAAAAACAAGACAACAAGTAATAGTGAATGTTTTGTAAGCTATAAATATATTGATTAGATTTGTTTATTTATTATTGATCTGTTTTATTATTGGACCTGCAAATCTTTATTTGAGCTGTCTAACGAGTTCAACGGTTTATTAATAAAGTACTTTTCAATATTAAACTCCATTGAAAAGAAGAAGCAAACATAAAAACAGAGAATAGGTACATTAAAAATGCATAAAAGATAAATTTTATAATAGAGGTATTGAAGTTTAAAAAACGTCAACATTTGACATTTTCAGTATTTTACCAAAACGTTCCGTATCAAACCGATGTTTTTCAGGAACCGCTCTTTACCGTAGTTTACCGGTCTGGTTCGCCTGGTTTTACATCGGAATACAGCCTAAATGACACTCTGAATAGAATGACATATATGTCAACTTTTGACATTTTCGAATATGGTTTATTTGAAATTGCAACATGCGATTCATAACGACAATTTGACTCGAAATACCAAGTGTGTGGTACCAAATTATTCGTAACAAATGCTATTTCCAAATATGCTAATGAGTCGCCCTCGTTCCATTTGAAAAAATTGAGATATGATTAAAAATACGATTTGGACATCTTTTAACCGGCCAGGACAAGACACGAATAATATTCGACGATCAAATCTATTTTTCCAAGGCTCCTTGATTAAAAATTAGTGTTTTTAACACAGCCGTGGCAGTCTAGATTGAACTAAAATTCATAATAGAGAGTGACATAACTATTCAAAACGTCTAAATTGAATAAATTATAAAAATAAAGACAAAAAAAACGACATAATAAGAATTTATTTTAAATGAAAAATTTTGTAGCTGCATTAAAACAAATATAAAAAAGCTTATTTACTTACTATTAGCAAACAACCACCGACATAGTATATCAACAAACTAAACATTTCGTTCACATTAAGAACCCGATATTTCAAATAGCGTTAAGTACCGCAAAAGAGATTTATTTATAGTATTTTTCCTGTTTTGCTTGAATTCGGCTGACTCTACCTAAGGTAAAGGTAGATGAGTACTTTCACATGGTTGTAGTACCATCAGCGTATCGTACTTATGCAGTATTAGTACGTTGGCATTAGTACGTTGGCAGAGTTAAATTTAAACTAATTGAATAAAAATGTTTCTTAAAAACTGTATAAAATCGGTTTCAGTAGGTGAATTTTGATTAGTTTCAAATTTAAACTTTGTTACTCCTAATGTTATAAACAAAATATCATTTTTTTGATAAATTGTGGGCAATTTTTTGCTATTATATGTACAGGGTGTCCCACTAAGAATAGCTCTTGGCTGTATCTTGGAAAGTATTAGCCGTAGGGCTTACGGAAAAAAATATTTGTAACTAAAGGGGCTATGAGAAATTGCTGGAAACTATTTTCAAGTTTGGAAAACGGCCGGTACAGGGCGCAACTGCTATGGAAAATAAGAGAATAGGATTTTTACAAAATTTTGCCTAGATAATGGGTACTATAAATAATAGCTTCATAATCTTCAGTAAATTTTAGATTTTTTTTGTTAGAACCATTTTCCCCTATCTGCTAAAATAAAATGGTGGGGAAGGTTAGATCTGTCTTTATTTAAATGTTAATAACTCTGGACTGGATGATCAGAATCCAACAAACGAGAGCTCGTTTAAAAGAGCATTTTCTATATTATAGCATAATAATAATAGTAATAAGCTTTTGAACGTAGACGCTAAGGGGCGCTTTCTTACAATTTAACAAATATAGCGCGTTTTTTTCAAAAAAATTAAATACGATAGTATATGTAATTTTAGCTGATAGTAAAGAGTAGTAAAAGCTTAAAAAATCGCATCTTGATATCTTCTTTCAAACCGAAGATATTAGCAAAATTATAATAAATACCAAAAAATAAGCTCTTAATTACCCTAATTTTACAACACGGTATCAGTAGCCCTCTTGATTATGCCCATTCTAACAAAAAAAAAATAAGATAGAAACAGTTAGTTTATTTTAAAATCGAGGAAATACCAGAATATCATAATACCAGATGTATTAATATCTAATAATTAAGATATGTATTAATAACAGTGAACAAGAAACAATGATTCAGTAAAGTCATGGTAGGCTTTGGGAAAAAGTTGCTTTTGACGTAATAGTATAAATGTCAAATTGCTATTAGATCAACATTTTGATAGTCTTAGCAGCGTTTTTTATCTTTTAATTGCTTTTCCAAAATGCTTTTATTATTTGAAGTAGTTGAAGTTGTTGACATTTTGAAAAAGCAATCAAAAGATAAGAGACTATCAAAATGTTGATCTAATAACAATTTGACGTTTATACTATTACGTCAAAACCAATTTTTTTCCAAAGCCTACCATGACTTTACTGAATCATCGTTTCGTGTTTACTGTTATTAATATCTTGATATTAATACATCTGGTATTATAATATTCTGGTATTTCGTAGATTTTAAAATAAACTAACTGTTTCTATCTTATTTTTGGTTAGAATGGGCATAATCAAGAGGGCTACTGATACCGTGTTGTAAAAATAAAGTAATAAAGGGCTTATTTTTTGGTATTTATTATAATTTTGCTAATAACTTTGGATTGAAAAAAGATATCAAGATGCGGCTTTCGCTGACTTTTTAAACTTTTACTACTCTTTACTATCAGTTAAAATTACATATACTATCGCATTTAATTTTTTTGAAAAAACGCGCAATGTTTGTTAAATTGTAAGTCAACGCCCCCTAGCGTCTACGTTCAAAAGCTATTATTATTGTTTATCTGGGACAATATAGAGTAAGAAACGCTCTTTTAAACGAGCCCTCGCTTGTTGGATTCCGATAATCCAGTCCGGAGTTATTAAAATTTAAATAAAAACAGATCTAACCTTCCCCCACCACTTTATTTTGGTAGATAGGGGAAAATGGTTCTAACAAAAAATATTAAAAATTTACTGAAGATTATGAAGCTATTACTTATAGTACACGTTATCTAGGCAAAATTGTGTAAAAACTCCATTTTCTTATTTTTTGTTGCAGTTGCGCCCCCTAGCGGTTATTCTACAAACTTGACAATAATTTCCAGCAATTTCTCATAGCCTCTTTAGTTACAAATATTTTTTTCCGCAGGCCCTACGGCTAATACTTTCCGAGATACAGCCGAGAGCTATTCTTAGTGGGATATCCTGTACAGGGTGCTCCATTATCTTGTGTTTTATGGAGTTTCTCAAGAAGAAGAAGTTTTCTAAAAGAAGAACTACTGAGACTAACGAAAGACACATTGTTGCGAGATTAATAATTTTATTATGGTTTGAGACGATAGACATAATAGACAAATATTTTTTAAATTTTGAGTTTGGTGCATAAAAAGGAGTTTTCCAATACGTGAGAGAAAAGAGCAGTATGATCAAAAAGAGGACTGTCCTCTGGAATTTGGAATAGAGGACAGGAACCAAGAACAGTTAACCTAATAGGACTGCTCATTCAGCCAAAAGTGTCCGTCAAGTGCATGCGAAAACTATTCGCTTTGTGACGTCATTGTAGCCCTTGTCATTGTTATTAGTCCTTATCCGGCAACCAATAATACATACACGTGCATTATTGGTTACCGAATGCAAAACGTTAATTATTTAGTTTATTTATTTAAACACCTTATATGTATGCAGTATAGAAAATTAACTGTATAAATCGTATTAAATACTCGGATAATGTATTTTTAAGAACAGCAGTTCCCAGCATCACCTTTTGCAAGCATTCTTTTTAGAGTATTTCCATATTTTGCTTTAAAATAATTAATAAACAAAATCGTGTGCACTTAGTATGCACTTTGTCACAATCCACAACACAAAACGAACGTATTTATACACTCTATAGCTCTAAAAACTTTAAACACACTCTTTTCACTTTTAAAATTGACAAAATAATTAACTCAAAATTTCTCAGCTGTTATTTTTATAAGTTTACCATAGGCAACTAATAATACACACTATCATCACGAAGGCTTTGACAAGGGCTACAATGACGTCACAACTGTCAGCTGAAGCGCGGGAAGAGGCGAACGTACGTCTTATGAGGATGAGCAATCCTATTAGTTTACCGTTCTTGGACAGGAACCTAACCCTATATTTACTCCATGATTTAACTGAATCAAAATCATACACTTTCATATAACTTTATTACATTTTTATATTAGTATTTCTTAAAATAATACATTTTACACATCATTATATGATACAATAATAATTTTATACTAACTAATAATCATTTAAACAAAAATCAACGTAACCTGTCTATTAACAATTGTGTCATAACTATCTATTTCAGTTCTAACACAAATATCAGCTCTAGAATACCCTAAACCGTACAAATCAAATGAAGAATCTCTAACTTCCAATCTTATCCTGTGGCCAAAATGCTTGTTTAATTCGGGAATACATACTTTTGTCCCGTAGGGCATACCGAGCTGCTCGTCCATACCCAGTGTGACGTAGTCATTACGTCCGTCTAAATAATCCTAAATCAAACAAAAAATATTAAAGTACTCCATAATAATTAAGTTTTATGATCAAGGGGAGGCGACATTGCTTTTGACAATTTAATAGTACCGTATGATCGAAAAAAAAACGGCGTCCAGTTGGCTGGGAAATAACGATCGATGACATTTCAGCGATCTTCATTTCATAGCCATCGCTGACGCCGTTTTTTCTCGATCATACGGTATATTACATATCGAGGAGGGAAGTGTAACTAAATCTCGAGACAATAATGAAAACTTTCCTCCGAGGTTTGTATACTGTTTTATTTACAAACACATCATTAATTAAAAAATAGGGAGAGTATTTTATTTTGAAAAAAATTATTATATATTGTCATTTCCTGTTTTGGCATTTTCATATCTATAGTTACCGGTATCAGTGGTTGTTATGGCGCAGAGAGAAACTAATAACTAAAGTGAGAGGGCTTGTGGAATAGGGCATTTTGTAGACAAGTTTATTTTGTCACCGCGCATCCCAGACGCGCATAGCGTTTAGGCGGTCAAAAGCGGAAGTTTTCAACTTTGCAAGTTAAACATTTGACAGGATTAATTAGATTGTCAGTAGCTTTTTCTATTTCTTAGTTCTAGAAGGAGATAACTAAAATCTGTTGATAATCGGAGCAAATCGGAGTAATAAATTGTTTTTGACTGAATGTGCCTGTTCTTTTAACTTGTCAGAAGAGAAGATTATTGTCATCATATACAAACTAAAATATATAGGAAACTGAAATGATACCGTCTGTTGGAGAATTCAGTGGCGCCATGCATCGGGTCGTTACAGAACTTATGATACAATTTTATTTTATTTTACAGGAAACTTTACATTTTAACTACAGGTAACTATGTTGTTTTGTCCACTCTAGCGCCATCTATTATCAATTTTTTGGAACATAATTTATTTCTTTTGTACAGAAATAGGTAATTTTTCTTCTATTTCTTATTTTTTAATAAGAATAAGTTACTCTAAATGCTACATCGCTCCATTATATTGTATTGTTCTCAAGTAGGTGGCGTTTCATTTAGAATTAACTTATCCTCATCAAAAAATATGAAATAGATAGAAAAAACAGCTATAGTTAATAAAATAAAATAATTAACTGGATATGTTTAATAATAATTATTAATTAATAACTTTATAAAAAAGTAAATAATACAAATTATACAATAAATAAAATTTCTTCTTCAGGCGTAGCTCGCACGGCACTGCTCTACTTAACTTCTTCATATAAATACAATAATAATAATAAATCAATACAATAGCATTAAATAATATAAAATACAACTAACAAAGTTTTGTCGCGAACTTTTACGAAGAGCGGCGAAAAAACGTGAATTGGATCAATGGTATAAAAATGCAGACCTACGGATTAAAGCGAAGTAACGCGAAGTATCAAAATCAAAATACATGCAATTAATCCAAGGACATATCGGCCGCGCCGGTGCCGGTGCCGGCGCTTCGCAAACATTTAAAGTATGATGCGCACTTGAGCGAAGCGCGCCGGAACCGAAGCCATGCGAAGCACTGTTTTTCGCACGCGATGAATAATTATTAAAGTTGTTTTAAGCAGGCCTTTTTAATTTTAGTATTATGCGTAGAGAAATATTATCTATGTCACGATTTGATAAAAACATTGGATTCATGTAATCATATAAAAATGCCTTTTATTCTGCATTTTTCCCCAATTTCTACCCAGGTGTTGTCTCGCCTCAATTCATTATGATAATTTGGGTTCTTAACATAACTCTTTGTAGCTCTGTATAATCATAATGAATGTTTCACCATTCTTGATCTCAGTAATTAAACTGAATTCACAGGTTGTACGATTCCTTTGCTATGCTTCCGATCTGAAACAAATAAATATGTATAATTATGTGACACATCAAAAAAACCTCGGGTATGGTTTATATAACGTAAAAATCCTTTTATAAGCAGGATTCAAAAACAATTGCTAATAAAAGCAAATTTACATTTTTGAGTAGTATGCTCCACTTATTATATTTTTTTAATTCTTACCTAACTTGGTGTAAACAACTGCCTGGGTTAAATTCTTAAAGAGGTCTTACAAGAGAAAAATCTTACCTCACTCGCAAAAACTGCATCATCTGCACTCTGGAAGATTCCTGGTTTTGGGATATCTGATCTCTCTAAAATGATAGATACAATTTAAAAAATCTAAAACGATAATTTTAATAAACCAAATTCAGTTTGGATTCGTAATACATATTAACATTTTTAATAAACTTTGGAATATCTAATAATTATTGAATCACTCTCTGGCAAATTAAAGTAGCCAGTGCCATAACTTGTTTATTTACAGCTCAATTAACATATTTTTTGTTATAAAGTTGATATGATATTTTTTTTTTAAAATAATCTTCATTACTGAATATTTTGCGATTTTAATTTGGCCCACGGTGTAGGTACCTACCCTTTTCAGTTACTGCTTTTCTCAGGTAACAGTACAAGTCTAATTCCAACGAGAGAGTGGTCCACCAACAAGTTCTACAACAAATGTTTGTTTTTAAATACAAGGTTTGTACCTGGATCGACATTACTGGATACCAAATTACCAGTAGGTTGATCATCTAAAAGATTATTTTAATTTTATTAGATCAAAATATCTGAAAACGTTCTCTTTATTTAACTAAATTTTTAACTATTTAACTTACCCATATAAACTGGTGTATATAAAAAGTCACTTGGAAGATAATTAACTTCTAAACCTCTTTTTATTCCAGGTACGTAATCTTGATTATAAAAATGTAAATCACAAACTCTATAAATCTTTTAAATATCTTGCTGGGTTGTATTTTCCATTTTAAGGTTTCGCACTTGATATCACTTTTGGAATAATGTAGGATCGTTCTTCGAGAATGTATGTCTTTTGGAAAACAAATCCATGCACGCCGACGCCGGCACAACATACTTATGAGAAGGGCTCGTGAAAGGGTTTACGGCCTGATTCCATCATTATTTTTAATAAAAGCTTAAACAATCACTAAAATTTCAGTAAAACTTTTTTCGATTTTTGACGGTGCATATTATTTATTTGATTAGAACTGACTTGATTTGATTTGAAGTGCCAAAAAAACTTCGCCTTAAGCGCGACCGGTGGTTCGTCACGGAACTAACAAATTTGTGTATAACTGGTTGCGGTGAAAAAGTCCTTTCAAAGATCTCAATTTCAGTTTCCCATATATTTTAGTTTGTATATGATTGTCATTATTGATTATTTCAGATTCCACGATTATTCCGCATTTTGTAATTTTTGTTTTGTGGTTGAGGTGTGCCGAAAGAAATGTTAAGAATATTGCTTCGGAGAGAGTCTTGATGGCATATTTCAGCGACATGGCAAGGCAGAAAAAGCCATCTACTCTTTGGGCTACGTACAGCATGATACGGACAAAGCTAGAATTAAGGGAAAAGACTGACATCAAATTATCACAAACTCGTCGCTTTTTTAAAACGCCAGAATGCATGTTTTAAGCCAAAGAAGTCTAGCATTTTTACCAGGCTTTTTTTTAAATGTTTCCAAAATCTTCAATTATTATTGTTAACCTTCTTGTTTATTTTTGTTGATGTTAGATAAGTATTTAATAAAGATATTACAAGAATATTTTGCTTAATTAAATGAGGCGGGAAATAAAAAAAAAACCGAGTGAGGGAAATGGGTGAGGGAAACGAAAGAGGAAAGAAATGTAGATAATTTGACACTTTCAAATTTTTTAAGTCAGTAATGTCAGTATTATATACCGGGTGCGTCTCAAAAGTGGCTCACCCCCTATAACTTTTTTATTTTTTCAGATAAAACAACGATATTTGGTATATCCAAAAAAAAACCTTTGTGGGTATTTCGCCACTGCAACAAATAATAGTAATAATTAGTGGCGAAATACCCATAAAGGATTTTTTGGATAGATGAATCCGCCACATAGGTATAGACATTTTTGATATTTGGTATGTTAGTATATGACATAAATTGGGATTTATTGACGTATTCAATCGCTTTCGGTCACTTCCGGTTTCACCGGAAATGATTACAACTTTTGATTTTTAAATGGCACCCTCGGTAATATTTTACTTTATTCGTTAGAAAATGACAATCTGAATCGAATGACAGACATGGTATTTTGAGTCAAATTGTCGTTATGAACCGCATGTTACAATTTCAAATAAACCACATGCCAAAATGTCAAAAGTTGACATGATATGTCATTCGATCCAGAGTGTCATTTTGTATCGAATAAAGTAAAAAAATACCGAGGGTGCCATTTAAAAATCAAAAGTTGTAGTCATTTCCGGTGAAACCGGAAGTGACCGAAAATAATTGAATACGTCAATCAATCCCAATTTATGTCATGTACTAACATACCAAATATCGTGGTTTTATCTGAAAAAATAAAAAAGTTATAGGGGGTGAGCCACTTTTGAGACGCACCCGGTATGTGGTTGTAAATAAAAAACTTAAATCAAAATTAGTTATAAAATTCCTGTTAAAAAATTGGACCACCTATATAATTGACTGTTGTTGTCTTTAAAAAGAACAATGCTAGAAAATGGCATCGGTTGCTAATTATATCTAAATTATTTAACTTTTTTAATATTTTTTTATCATAGTTATTCAATTATTGTCTATTTGCAACAGTTTAGCTGATTTTTTTTTACCTAAAACTGGGTTACAATTTATTTTCTTTTCTTTAAGTTTAAACACAAAAAAATATATAAAAATATACCGTATGATTGAAAAAGAAACGGCGTCAAAGGCGGCTGGGGAATGACAATCGATGATAATTTTGGCAAGGTCGATCTCTAGGAAGACGTCATTTATAAAAAGTTGACATAAAACTTGAAAAAAATTACCATCAATTACAGAAAAATTAAAGATAGAACGTTTCCAGACACACAAATCTATTTCTAAAAAATTCTTACGGCCAACTGGCAGTAAGCTCCATTAAAGGGCTTGACCCCGCCAAAATTATTATCGATTGTCATTCCTCAGCCGTCTTTGACGCCGTTTTTTTTTTCGATCATATAGTATAATTTATGTATATTAGTGGATCTGCTTTACCTGTAATGTTCTTAGTTTTCTTCCTTTCTTATCTTGAAAACCAAACTCGTTATCTTGGTTAGTATAATCCGGATAATACGCTGTCAAAGTGACATTTTTAAACGTCTTTCCTCTACAATTGAAATCCAAATCTAAAAAAAAGTTGTTTAAAGTAATAAATATATTGCAAAAAATAAAAATATGCGTGGTTACCGTTGTCGAAAAGTGCATTTGTTCTTATTATGAATAATAAAAATAATATAACGCGATACATTATTATAGCGAAACTATTGTGTAAAGATAATATTATTTGAACTTGGTTAACGATTAAAAAATTGTTGCAATAAGTGCAATGGTAAGCGTAATGATGCGTTGAGTAGTTGCATAGATGCAGTGTCATCTATAAAATTGTTCAACATAAATTATTATGTACAGGGCGTCCCAATAAGAATAGCTCTCGGCTGTATCTCGGAAAGCACTAGTCGTAGGGCTTGCGGAAAAAAAAATATTTATTACTAAAGAGACTATGAGAAATGGCTGGAAATTATTTTGAAGTTTGTAGAACGGCCGCTAGATGGCGTAACTGCTATGGAAAAAGCAAAATGGTATTTTTAACAAATTTTGCCTAGATACGATGTACTATAAATAATAGCTTCATAAACTTCAGTAAATTTAGGATCTTTTTTGTTAGAACCATTTTCCCTATCTGCCTAAATAAAGTGGTGGTAAAATTTAAATGTTAATAACTCCGGACTGGATGATCGGAATCCAACAAATGAGAGCTCGTTTAAAAGAGCGTTTCTTACCCTATATTATACCATATAAACAATAAAAATAGGCTTTTGAACGTAGACGCCAGGGGGCGCCGTCTTACAATTTAACCAACATTGCGCGTTTTTTACATAACTTTTACATAACACAGTTACAGCAGCCCTCTACTGTAACCGTGTTATAAAAATAAGGTAATTAAGGGCTTATTTTTTCGTATTTATTATAATTTTGCTAATATCTTCGGTTTGAAAGAGGATATCAATATGCGGTTTTCGCTGACTTTTTAAGCTTTTTGACTCTTTACTATCAGCTAAAATTATATCGCATTTAATTGTTTTGAAGAAACGCGCTATGTTTGTTAAATTGCAAGACAGCGCCCCCTAGCGTCTACATTCAAAAGCTTATTATTAGTGCGTATACTGTATAAAATACAGTAAGAAACACTCTTTTAAACGAGCTCTCATTTGTTCGATTGATTCCGATCATCGAATTCGGAGTTATTAACATTTAAATAAAAAGAGATGTAACCTTCTCCCACCACTTTATTTTGGCAGATACTGGAAAATGGTTTTAACAAAAAATATTCTAAATTAACAAAAAATATTCTAAGATTTTGAAGCTATTATTTATAGTACCCGTTATCTAGGAAAAATTGTGTAAAAACTCATGTTTTTTATTTTGTATAGCAGTTGCGCCCTCTAACGGCCGTTCTACAATCTTGAAAATAATTTCCAGCAATTTTTCATAGCCTTTTGAGTTATATTTTTTTCCGCAGGCCCTACGGCAAATACTTTCCGAGATACAGCCGAGAGCTATTCTTAGTCGGATACCCCGTACAGGGTGGCTTATATAAGTAGTATTATATAAATAATATATAAATAATATAAATAATATAAATAATATAAATAATATAAGTAATATAAATAATATAAATAATATAAATAATATAAATAATATAAATGATATAAATAATATAAATAATATAAATAATATAAATAATATAAATAATATAAATAATATAAATAATATAAATAATATAAATAATATAAATAATATAAATAATATAAATAATATAAATAATATAAATAATATAAATAATATAAATAATATAAATAATATAAATAATATAAATAATATAAATAATATAAATAATATAAATAATATAAATAATATAAATAATATAAATAATATAAATAATATAAATAATATAAAATAAGCTCGGTAAAGACTGACATATCGACAAAATTTCAAATCAAATTCAAATGTGTCAAATAAATCGTGAAACATAACTGTCATCCTTACCCTACCCTAGAGTCCTTTTCCACCCACTATGCATGAATCTATCCATGTATTCATTATTCTTCTTCCTTTAATTTTTTTATTCAAATATACAGGGTGTTTCAAAACAAATGCGAAAAACTTCAGGGGGTGATTCCTTGTTCAAAATAAAGGGTAGTTTGCTTCATAAACGTTGGGTCAAAAGTCAACCATTAGGGAGATATCGCGGTACAAAGATGGCGGAAAAATAATGTTTTTATTCTTTATCTTGAAAACAAAAAGAGATAGACTAATGAAATTTTATGGAAGCATTACTGTTATGAAAACACAATTTAATTTCTTTAAATTTCGTTAACAAGAATGATAGGGGTAGTTTATTTCAACCCCTTCCACTCATTTTAAAAAAGTGAAAAAATTACCAGAAAGTGTGTTTTCATAACAGTAATGCTTCCATAAAATTTCATTAGTCTATCTCATTTTGTTTTCAAGATAAAGAATAAAAACGTTATTTTTCTGCTATCTTTGTACCGCGATATCTCCCTAATGGTTGACTTTTGACCCAACGTTTATAAAGCAAACTACCCTTTATTTTGAACAAGGAATCACCCCCTAAAGTTTTTCGCATTTGTTTTGAAACACCCTGTATAATCATACATATAATATGACTTGTAATCTTCATACCATGTGATTTAGTAGTTTGTTTTACTACCTTTTTGACTGCTTTCACATTTTAAATTGAATATAGAAAAGATGGATTAAAATTTAAAATTGATATAAATACTCAACAAAAAATCTGAATGGACATTTGCGGACCATCAAACACAGAAAGATCTAAAATCCAACAATCTGTTAATGCAAAATGTAATTAACTAGCTACATAGAACATCTGTTTACAGATTCACTCTTTTTGTTCGAAGGTACGGTGAATTGGTAAAAGCAAAAATTCCTATATTTTCAGACGATCCACTGTTTTGGTTTAGTAAAAGTGAAAAATTAACAAAAGAACACATGTTTTTTTTTGTTTTGGATATTTCTAATATAAAAAATTAATCATTATTAGCTGTACTATAAATAATATAAAGTCACAACCATAGGTCACAACAGTATTAATTTTTGCGAAATGAATGACAATATCAGACAATATAAAAGCTTATTAATCTACGACAATGTCATTATGACACATTTAAGCTACACGCACACTGGTGTGATCACGGCCGCGATCATGATCACGATCAGGGCAGCGATAACATGAGCGATCATTCCTACAGGATAGCTCACTACATATAGGTGCGGCGGTGAACGTGAACGCGTTGGTGTGTGCTAGAATGATCGCTCATATTATTGCTGCCCTGATCGTGATCGTGATCGTGATCGCAGCCGTGATCGCGCCAGTGTGCGTACAGCTTTAACATTGTCATTTGGATGTCATTATGGCTCAAGATTATGGCTTTCATAAGTGAAAGCCATAATCTTGAGTGCTTGAATTTGTTGAAGACCCATCATTGCCAGAAATGTTACCCAAAATATTACATGACACTTTTTCTTATTTTCTTTGGAATTTTCTATATAGCTCTCTGCCACTGTGTTAGAGCGCCAACCACCATGTCTTTTAACAGTTAATAAATCCACTCCTGAATCTGCAAGCAACGACGCAGACGATCTACGGAAATAATATCCAGTTTATTGTTGTGGATTTGGAAGACTTAGAAACAATGCTATTTTATACGGCATTTAAAAATAAAAATTAAAATTATTTAAATTTATTTTTTTTTTCATACTGAAAATTTCACTTAAACTGATTTATTCCCTATACCACGTAAAGAGAACGTGGTGTAGGGAATAAATCAGTGTAAGTGAAAATTTGCAGTTTCTTTCAGAACGAAAGAATACTACTATTATAAGGGAAATTATAAAAAAAGCAAAAATTGTACTGTTTTATTAACATATTTATTTATATATAAAAATAAATAAACTTTTATAATATAATAACAAAAAATAACAGTGTTTATTCCACCCACCTACCAATTTCAAATGCAGAAGAACTGACTGTTGAAGGACACGATCGGCGAATTTTTTTAAAGGGCATTAAAAATCTCATTTTCGAAAAAAACTGCCTAATTGCAATAACAAAGTGAATATCCAAGCAAAGAAGACTTTACGAGAATCATGATCCTGAACCATTTACAAGTTCAGTTTTAATCCTAAAACAAAAGTAAAATAGGTATATTAATAAAATTTCTGGTTACTATAAACCAGCTATTAACTACCTACCCAAAAAATTAATTGTATTAATTTGTTATGTTAAGAGAGGTTCGAAATATTTTTGACACTACTTCTACTTTTTTCTTAATATAATAAGATGATATAACTACTTACTTTTATTTTACCGGGTGTCTTTAACATATCTATCAGAGAAAGGGGGCACCAATACATATAAAAAATAGCTGATACTGGCTCCTGCAGCAAATAAAATAACAAATAGTATAACCTAATATTATAAGCAACAAAATATAAATACCTATATGGAACAAAGGAATTTGTTCCCTATCCATATTCATAAGTCCATAAAATGGAGAGTTTAGAAAAAAAGGTAAATCACCAAAAGAAAAATTAACAAACATGACGATATGCATGACGAATTGTCATGATGTTGTCATCTTGGTTGTCATGATGACGAAAACGAAAGGGGATTGTTCTAATTTCTATTTAGAAATTACGTTTTATATGGCTGCTTCTTTCTCTCTTGTTATATTAGAATGAGATAGTGGGCCCAATAGACGCAATGCGCAGATCAACATAAATAGAACGAAATTTTGCGTTCTGAGTTGCGCTACGGGAACGTTGTCCCTCTCTTTGCCATTTAATTTACCAGTCTCTTTTTATTTGGTTGTCTATGGTTTTGAGTCAATATTTTTTTAATTCTCTTTCGTGTCGATTGCTGATTGAATTGGAGCCAGAAATGGCTCAAAACGAAATAAGTAAATTACCAACAGATATTCAGGCTGAGGCGACAAACGCCATATTCAAACTACTTCCATTTAAATCCCGAATAACTTATGAAAAGGAATACAAAAATTTTCAAAAATGGAAACAATTAAAAAACCTGCGAGAAGAAATAAAGTTTTTAACCTATCTTCGCTGTTAAAATATCATTTAATCTACCCTTGGGGCAGTGCCTTGCGTCTAAACTACTATTTTATCTACTACTTTTGATAGATATCTATGGAAAAAAATATTACTTTAAATGCTTCATATGAGTGAATACAAAACTTTCATTATTGTATGATTGTGAATAAATAAGTTTACTTAGTTGTCTAATAA